GGGAGGGGAGGGGGTGGGGCTGCAGTGGGGGGAGGGGGTGTGACGCTGCGGGGGAGGGAGGGAGGGGAGGGGGTGGCGCTGTAGGGGGAGGGAGGGTTTTGGGGCTGCAGTGGGGGGAGGGGGGTGTGGCGCTGCGGGGGCGGGAGGGAGGGGACCGGCAGTGTCCACACTGTCATGTGCACCCAGAAGTGCCTAGAAGGGACCATGCTTCCTTTGTTGTGAAAATTCATGAACAAGCCATTTGCGGGGTGACCGAGGGGTCCTCACTGAGGAAAAATGCAGCAAATGTGTTCATGTGAGTTATCTTTCGAGTGGCCAGGACAGTAAATACGGGGAAAATAAAACAGTATCGTGAGTAGAGGTCTGACCCCTGACGTTTCTTTGTCGTTTCCAAGTGGATCTGGAAGAGGTGACTGGAAAACACGCGGAAGACCTCGACAGTAAACGTCTGAGTGACGCCGTGACAGTGAGGCTGTCACCCACCTCCCCGCACACGAAGAGGACGACATATTACAACCTGAGCCCCGAAGTCCAGGAGATGGCCGAAAAGATGGACTGGCTGAAGGACAGCCACGTCTTCCGCACCTTCTGGGCGGAAGCCGCGGAGGAGCTGAGCGAGCCTGAGGAGGAGCCGAGCGAGCCTGGGGAGGAGCCGGGACAGCAAGCACTGCAGCCTGAGGAAGCGTATCAGTGCCTGTACTGCCCCTGTTTCCAGAGATATCTGGAGCTCTACGAGAATCTGAAGTCGGGAGAGGTCACCTTTCAGGAGGTCAACGACCTCTTCAGCGACTTTGTGAATAAATACAACAACCTCGCTTTCGAGCTCCAGCTCATGTGCGCCTTGGACAGCAGGGACCAGAGAGGCTGGATCCAGGGCCGCGTGGGGCAGATCAGGGAGTACCACCACCTGCACCAGGCTGTCAGCGCGGCCAAGGTCATCCTGAAGGTCAAGGAGAATTTGGGCCTGACTGGTGACTTCAGTGTTCTACATACTTTGTTAAACTTTGTAAGTTATTTGCCAGGGACCCTTGGGGTAGGGGTCCAAGAAGTTGTGTGTGGGGTGGGGGGGGGACGGGTGTCTCATAGGCTCTCTGGGTTCTGGAAGCCAGACGGGATGCTGTCACAGTCCCCCCAGGAGCTCTGGATTGCATCTCACCTGATGGCCGATTGTGCCGAGGGCTTCCTTTCCACCTTTGTTTATAAACAGTGTGAGTGCTGCTGGCGAGGCAGCGTTTTCCCGGGTCGGCACAAGGCTCGAGACCTTGGAACGGGCCGTGCCCCTGTTTCAGTAGCCAGGGATTTGGAAAGAGTGGTCTGGTCTCGTCGGGCTGGAGGGGGGCTGGTGGGGGGCTGGAAGGGCAAAAGAGGGGCTCGCTTCGCGCAGCTCTGTTCGGGGCCCCTGTGGCAGGCACAGAGCGGCCCGCAGCCGGCTATTTCTGCTACAGGTGAGACGTGGTGTGTTCCTTCAGGGGAGCGTTTCCAGGGTCTCCCATGGCCTGTGGTATAGTATCGACGCTTGCGATGGTGATTAAGCTTTAGCACAAAATTGCGATGAAGGCAGGCGCAAGCTTGAATCCCAGCAGCGTGCTCCCGAGTGAGTCGCTGCTCCGGGGCTTCATGTCCTTACCTGTAACATAGGAAGCAGCCATTCGCACCTGGCAGTATTTCTTACAGAAGTCGCGTAGCAGAACGCCAGGCATAGAGCAGGGGCAGTGCCTGTACGCCGATTCCAGGGTCAGCGGTGGGTGTGCCAGGGTCTCTGGGACGGGCCGGATGCGCCTGCCTTTGGCTCCCGCCAGCCCAGGAAGGGCGGGCGTGGGGCCTCCGAGAGGGTCGATGGGTCCCCGTCCCGTGCCCAATAGAGCCTTGTCTCACAGACGGACAACTTCGACCAGTTTCGCCACGAGAAGCTGGACCGGATCAGCAAGCAGCTTATCCAGGCCAAAAAGCTGCTGCAGGACGTCACGGAGCCCCGGCGCCAGTGCCTGAGCGAGCTGTCCCAGAGGAAGGAGTTCATCAGCTGGGTCCAGGAGGCGCTCGGAGGTACGGCTGCGCGCTGACGTTGCACGTGGCGTGTGGAGGGAGCGTTCAGGTGGCTCGCGGAGGGGGAGGGGTCCTAAACTTACAGGCAGCCCCTCCCCTTGCTCGTGCATGTGTGAGCCCACCTCGCTCAGGTTGACGTGCGGCGTTTGCTGCAGTGACTGTCCACGGGGTTTATTCCAGGGCAGGTGTTTCTTACTACTATTTCCCCCACTCTGGATGCTTGCTGTGAGCCATGGGGGGTCATTTTCTTCCAAATCTTGCTCCCTTTAGCTTTTCCCTATGCTTGATTTTAGCTATACAAGGTAAGCCCTTGTCCGCAGAGAGTTTGGATTACGTCAACTCGTTGGTTTTCTGCATGTTTCTTTTTCGGCTGGGGGCTTGGCAGCCTATTTTGTCTTGTGCCTTGGGTGCCTTTGGCAGAGGAGTGCACAGAGGGGAGGAGGCGGGGTACAGATGAGAGGTGAAGGAAACGAGAGAGGGGAGGCGGCTCTGATGTGCCGCGGGGAGACTGTCTCTCATCCAGAGCTGCCATGCTTTCAGCCGTGGGCTGCCTGGACGCACATCCTCTGATTTGTAAGGAGCCCCAAAAGAGTATCTGCATTTCTTTACAGTTAGCTGTCGGCACGGTATTTACCGGCTGAGCCCATGTCTTTTTGTACAAGACGCTGGTGGCACGTGGATTAAATAAAGCGAAGTGCACAGAAGCCTCGAGTGGTGCCTGGGTGTGGCGGTGGTTCCACAAGGCCAAGTGCTGACCCCTGTGTCCATGTCCACGGCCAAAGGAAGGTCGCTCTGGATTTGTATGACAACTAGGAAGTAGATCAGAAAGACTCAGGGGCGCCTGGGTGGCTTAGTCGGTTAAGCCTCTGACTTCAGCTCAGGTCATGATCTCACGGTTTATGAGTTTGAGCCCCGCGTCGGGCTCTGTGCTGACAGCTCAGAGCCTGGAGCCTGTTTTGGATTCTGTGTCTCCCTCTGTCTGCCCCTCCCCCACTAGTGCACATTCTTTCTCTCTCTCTCTCTCTCTCTCTCTCTCTCTCTTTCAAAAACAAACATTAAGGGCGCCTGGGTGGCTTAGTCGGTTAAGCGTCCGACTTTCACTTGGGTCATGTACTCGCAGTTCGTGGGTTCGAGCCCCGCGTCGGGCTCTGTGCTGACTGCCAGCTCAGAGCCTGGAGCCTGTTTCGTTCTGTGACTCCCTCTCTCTGACCCTCCCCTGCTCACGCTGTCTCTCTCCTAGAAATAAAAATATAAAAAAAAAAAAAAAAAGAAAGACCCAGAACTGCAGGAGCACTTGTTCACCCCCCACTGAGGACTCGTGCTCAGGGTCAGCGTGCCGGGTTCGCGGAGCAGCCCCACGCTCACTGGTCCGTCCTTGCCCCTAGGCATCAATGAGCTGAAGGTGTTTGTGGACCTGGCTTCCATCTCCGCGGGAGAGAACGACATCGACGTGGACAGGGTGGCCTGCTTCCATGACGCTGTGCAGGGCTATGCGCCGCTGCTATATAAGCTGGATATGGGCGCGGGATTTGACGAGTTCGTGACCCACCTCGGGGAGCTGTGGCGGGCTCTGGAGAATGACCCATACCTGCCTCATAAGCTGGTGAGTCTTGCTTCCGGCTTCATCCGAGAAGATGGAGCTGCGTGGGGGGTTGCTCGGTGCCACGTGGGGTGGGACTGTGAATTAATCTGAACGACATGGGTTTATGGTTTAAAATGATTTTTTGAGGGGAGGGGAGGCCCCTGGGTGGCTCAGTTGGCTGAGCATCCAACTTCGGCTCAGGTCATGATCTCGCGGTTCGTGAGTTCTGTGCTGACAGCTCAGAGCCTGAGACTGCTTCCCATTCTGAGTCTCCGTCTCTCCCTGCCCCTCCCCTGCTCACGCTCTGTCTCTCTGTCTCAAAAATAAATAAAATGTTAAAAAGTTTTTAATTAAAAAAAAAGACAAGAAGAATGAACATGGTAGTTTAAGAGAAGCACGTGCACCTGGGTTCGAGCAGGCCCACACCGCATCACGTGGCTGGCGTGCCGAGGCCACGTCTAGCCAGAAACAGCCACGGAGGGTGAGGGAAGAAAGGAGAGACAGAATGACCAGGTGGAGACGTCTCTGTTTCTGCTGCTGGAAACTTACTCGTGAACAAAAAAAATCTGGCCTGGATTCTCCTTCGTGTTTCCGGTTGGACTTGGGGTCCCCAGAAGTACACTTAGAACATAAGGCCACAGTGCCCTTGCTCCACCCAGCGTCACCCCTGCTGGCGGCCCGGCAGAACAAAGCCTCCACACTGCCCCGTCCACGTGCCCCCCGCGTGCTAGCCAGGGCAGCGGCCACTGGTGGGGACACGGACTCACGGCCCGCTACAAAGAGGGCAATGCTGTGGGGCAGCGACCAGGGAGGGAGGCAGGGGAGAGGGCAACGGGTGAGGAAAGCGGTACGTGGGGGGGGAGGGGCTGAACACCAGGAGAGCAGCGGAGGAGGAGGAGCCACCGCAGAAGGGAAAGAAGGTTTCCGTCCTGTCCCAACAGTGTGACTCAGCCAGGAGCCTGGAGTGGCTGAAGACCGTGAAGGAAAGCCACGGTTCTGTGGAGCTCTCGTCCCTGTCTCTGGCAACGGCCATCAACGACAAAGGCGTCTATGTCATCAGAGCCCCCACAGGGGGCCAGAAGGTGAGCCGCAGTGACCTGCACGGGCTGCTGTCGTCAGGGGGGTGCGGGATTCTACCTCCAGAAAACCACCCTCTGCCGCGGCACTTCTCCACAGATCTGCCCAGACACGGTTCTACAGTTATCCCTTCCCGAGAGCCACGGAGGCCGTGAGGAGACGCGGGACTTCTCTCTGGAAGAGCTCAAGGAGCTTTTGAACAAGCTCATGCTGATGTCTGGCAAGAAGGACCACAGCAATGTCCAAGTGGAGGTATTTTCCAAGGTGAGGACTCCGAGTGCCCGGTGGCCGGACAGAGTCAGAGGGTCTGAGCTTGCGTGAAGTCATAGGAGGCCTTTAAACCCGGGCTGGGGGTGGGGGGGGGTGCGGCGGGGCTGCGGGAGGCAAGAGCCCGAGTTCAAGACGCCGAGAGACGTCTGAGCTACGATACGTCCGTTGGGTCGGTTGTCCCGTCGAAGGTGTGTCCACACAGCCGGGCGGGTGGGTCCCAGAAACAGACTTCTGTTGCTTCGGTTGCTGTAAATCAGCAAGAACCCCAAAATACCGGAAGATCTTAGACAATAGTTCTCAGTCGGAATCGACAGTGAATGTGTCGACAAAGGGGTCTTCGTGTACGTAACGGCCTCTGGACTCTATCAGGGTCCGAGGCCACATGGCGAGGCCCGGAAACGCCTGAACCCGGTGGCAGCTCCGCACGAGGGGTCCGCGGCCGTCACCTCTGACGCGGCCCCTGCTTCCGTCCGCCACAGGTGTTCTCCAACGTGCAGAGGCTGGTGCAGGCCTTCATCCACCTGTACTCCGCCGGGAACATGCTCTTCAGGACCTGGACGGCACAGGTGTTCTGCTCCCCGCGGCACGGCGTCTCCGTCCAGATGGAGTTCCACTTGGAGCCGCCGGTCCGGCTCAGGGGCGGCGGGGAGGCGTCAGAGCTGCTGGAGGCCGTCAGCAGGCAGCTGGAGCACTTCCTGGGCCGCTGGGAGGCTTTCGTGGCCGAAAAGCGGGCCAAGCACTTTTATCTCAACTACTACACGGCCGAGCAGCTGGTGTTCCTGAGCACGGAGCTCAGGAAGCCGACGCCCAGCGACGCCGCCCTCACCATGCTGTCCTTCATCAAAGGCAACTGCACCCTGAAGGACGTGGCCAGGGCCCTCCAGGACCCCGGCGGGGACGCTGCCCGGCACCAGGAGAGGACGCGGATTCAGGGAGTGCAGGCGGCCCTCCTGCGGGAGCTGAGCCTGGCGGGCAAGCTGAGGGCCATCCTGGAGCAGTCGATGGCCTGCATGAGCGCCTTGCTGCCCCACTGCCTGGACCTGGAGGCGCTCGGCCGGTGCCTGGCCCTGCTGGGGTGGATGCGCGGCCGTCCCGTGGAGCGCCGCCTGCCCAAAGGCCTGCACGTGGGCCGGCCCAACCTCATCGTCTGCGGCCACTCCGAGGTGCTGCCGGCCGCGCTGGCCGTCTACATGCACGCCCCGCAGCAGCCGCTGCCCACCTTCGACGAGGTGCTGCTCTGCACGCCGGGAACCACGTTCGAGGAGGTGGCGCTGCTCTTGCGCCGCTGCCTGACGCCGGGCTCCCGCGGGCAGGGCGTCTACAGCCTGCTGTACGCGGACCTGCTGAGCTACGAGGTGGCCAGCCAGGCCGAGGTGCTCTTCCTGAGCCTGTGCTCACAGCCGCACCGCGCGGACTTCCAGCTGGTGATGGTGTGCGACAGCGCGCGGGAGCACTGCCACCTGCCCTCCGCCTTCAGCCAGCACAAGGTCCCGGTCACCCCCCAGGCGCCCCTGCAGGACATCCAGGCCTACCTGGCGCAGCATTTCCAGGTCCCCCCGGACATTCGGTCGGCTGCCGACGTGTTCCGGGACCGGATGTGTGTGGGCATCGTGGCATCCGAGCGAGCGGGCGTTGGTAATGGCTGCTGCTGGGGGCGGGGGCGGGGGCGGGGTGGGGGGGAAGGGGATGGGCCCCTCAGGTCGTGGGACCGGCCGACGGCCCTTCCCCCCGGCCAGCAGGAGCTGCTCAGAGGATGGAGCCGTCTGTAGTGGGGAAACTGAGTCTCAGGGAGGTTTTGACCCTCTCAAATCGTGAGTCAGGACCGTGCTGGAAGGGGACACCCTTTCTCACCGAGTTTCATGCTCGGGCGACGCGAGGGAGCCAAGCCACCTTCCTCTAAACAAGCTGGTCTGCAGCCCCCCTCCCCTTTCTGTAACCTCCGTTGGCCACTTTGGGGTTGATGTGGGTCTGGAGAGCAGACGGGGTGTAACTGCTTTGTTTTGGGAGGGAAAATGCCCCTTGACTCCCCTCGTGTTCCCGCCCATCAAGAGCACTACCTTCTCCGCCTGGAAAACATGGTCCTCCCCTGCCCTGACATGGACGGCCTCAGTGCCAGTGGGCGTGGGGATAGCGAGCAGGCAGCAGCAAGGAATTTTGAGGGTTCAAAAGCACATTTTTTAAAACAATAACCATTTTTTAAATATTTATTTTTGAGAGGGAGAGAGACAGAGTGCGAGTGAGGGAGGAGCAGAGAGAGGGAGACACAGAATCTGAAGCAGGTTCCAGTCGCTGAGCTGTCAGCACAGAGCCTGATGGGGGCTCGAACCCACAAACCGCGAGATCATGAGCTGAGCTGAAGTCAGACGCTTAACTGACTGACCCCCTGGGCGCCCCAGAAGTACATCCTTTACACGGATGGTCTGTTTCATCCGTTACGAATTTTGCAGGGGGAAGTGACTTGTAATAAATCTTCCAGGATGCTCTCACTCCTGGCCCACGGCCCTGACGCCTAATGTTCACGTTCTTACGTTACAGGAAAGTCTCTGTATGTGGAGAGATTACACAGCAAACTGACGATGAAGCTAAGAGGCGAAAAGGTGCCCCTTAAAGTTATCCGCCTGATTGACCCTCAGGTGGACGAGAACCAGGTGCTGCGTTCCCTCCTGCCTTTCCTGAAGGCCCGCTATCAGACCAGACCCATGATATTCCACTTGGACGTGACCTCCTCGGTAAGCACCCTGGGGCTTCAGTCGGGGTTCCCCCGCGCCCCACCCTGCCTCCTCCGGGGGAAAGAATGTCCTCTTTCTCTACATGTTGGTATTCAGTGTCACCGTGTGTGAGGACGGAGCACAACGGTCCCCGCGGCTGGGAGAATGGGCCGTCCTGCGTAGGCGCTCATTCACCTCCTGTTTCTGCCTTTAGGTGCAAACCGGACTCTGGGTGTTCATTTTCAAACTCCTCGTCCTGCAGTACTTAATGGATATAAATGGGAAAGTGTGGCTCCGGAACCCGTCCCATTTATACATCATTGAAATCCTGGAACGGACTCCAGCGCTGCCCAAGATGCCTTGCAAACGGGTGTGTACCGCAGGGCATTTTCACGTCTCTGCGCCAATAATCCCCCACCCCTGCCTTAGCGAAGCAGCTGAGTGCGGTGTCAGTAAAGATGAATCGGTCTTTAAAATCATTTTATTTATATATTTATTTTTTCTGAGTGAGAGGGTGTGAGCAGGGGAGGGGCAGAGAGAGAGGGAGACACAGAATCCGAAGCAGGCTCCAGGCTCTGAGCTGTCAGCACAGGGCCCGATGCGGGGCTGGAACCCATGAACAGTGAGATCATGACGTGAGCCAAAGTCAGATGCTTAACTGACTGAGCCACCCAGGCGCCCCTAAAATCATTTTTTAATAATGTCTGGAATAAAACTCCAGTTATTAGGTAGCAGTGTCTTCCATTTGTCTTGTTCAGTCCGGAATTCACGCTCTTTGTGTGAAATACCAGGAGTGCTCGGAATACAGTAAATTCGTCTGTTGGACACAGTCCATGTTTCTTAATTCCGGCTAAGGTAGGAAGGAGGGTTTTGTCATATACATTTCTTTTTCTTAGAGAGAGAGAGAGAGCATGTGCAAACGGGGGAAGGGCAGGGCGAGAGGGAGAGAGAGAATCTCAAGCAGGCCCTGTGTTCAGTGCAGAGCCCGACACGGGGCTCGGTCCCTCAACCCTGGGATCATGACCTGAGCTGAAATCAAAAGTCGGATGTTCAACCAACTGAACTGTCCGGGCGTCCCTGTGACATACGCTTCTGAACGAAAGGGCATCTTGTACCCCTGTGCTCACGCACATACATACGTGCTTAATAGAGATTTTGTCTCAGGAGGTTGGGTAGAAAAGGACTTAGCAATTGAGAAGGTAGTTCCCACAATGCCTCATCATACAAAAGAAAGCAGCTTGTGTACAAAGAAGTCTACAGAAATCAGTTTACATAAAGTGGTTTCTCATAAAGGTCCATCTAGTGCTGATCCCATGGAGGGTTAAGATGCAGAGATTTTTTTTTTTAATTAAAAAAGTTTTTTTAATGTTTTCATTTATTTCTGAGAGAGAGAGACAGCATGAGCAGAGGAGGGTCAGAGAGAGAGGGAGACACAGAATCGGAAGCAGCTCCAGGCTCTGAGCTGTCAGCACAGAGCCCGTCTTGGGGCTTGAACCCACAAACCGTGAGATCATGACCTGGGCCGAAGTTGGACGCTCAACCAACTGAGCCCCCAGGCGCCCCTCAAAGGTGTTGTTTGGAAAGTGTAGTGTAAGCATTCTCTTTGTGTCTCCCCTTTCCAGAGTATGCATGGTCCCCAGTTCAATTTTCTCGACATCTTCCCAAAAGTCACCTGCCGGCCTCCCAAAGAAGTGATAGACATGGAGCTGAATCGCGAGGAGAGCTCCACAGACCCAGGGATGGACCAGAGAGTGTTCCAAAGCGAGACTTTCCAAAGGCCTTACCAGTACCTGAAACGGTTCCATGAGAAAGAAAACCTAGACTCGTTCCTGTACCAGGAAGGCTGTGTCGAAGGCACCCCTGAAGAATGCCTTCAGTATTTCCTGATTTACTGCGGGGTGATTAATCCGTCCTGGTCGGAACTCCGGAACTTCGCTGGTTTCCTGAATTACCAGCTCAGAGACTGTGAGGCCTCCCTCTTCTGCAACCCAACCATAACTGGAGACACACTGAGAGGCTTCAAGAACTTTGTGGTCACCTTCATGATCTTCATGGCAAGAGATTTCGCCACACCAACCCTTCACACGTCCGACCAGAGCCCGGGGAGGTACGCGGTCACCATGGATGGGGTCAGGGAAGAAGATCTAGCCCCTTTCACTCTCCGGAAGAAGTGGGAGTCTGAGCCTCACCCGTACGTGTTCTTCAACAGCGACCACACGTCCATGACATTCATAGGCTTCCACATCCAGCCCAACCAGAATGGCGGCCTTGATGCCGTGGAGCTCTCCAGTAGGAGGGTCATCAAGAGAAATGTCATGGAGATGGAGCTGTACCGGGGGCTGTTGCTCCAGAGGGTGCCCTTCAATGTTGACTTTGATCAGCTGCCCAGGCACGAGAAACTTGAAAGGCTCTGCCTGGCATTAGGGATCCAGTGGCCCATGGACCCCGATGAAACCTATGAGCTCACGATGGACAACATGCTGAAGATCCTTGCCATTGAGATGCGGTTTCGGTGCGGGATCCCCGTTATCATCATGGGAGAGACCGGCTGCGGGAAAACCAGGCTCATTAAATTCCTCAGCGACCTGCGGCGTGGGACCGCCAAGGCTGAAACCATGAGGTTGGTCAAGGTCCACGGTGGGACGACAGCAGAGATGATCTACTCCAAAGTCCGCGAGGCGGAGGAACTTGCGCTCTTCAACAAGGAGCAGCATCAGCTGGACACCATCTTGTTCTTTGATGAAGCCAATACGACAGAAGCCATAAGCTGTATCAAGGAAGTCCTGTGTGATCGTACGGTGGACGGCCAGCCCCTGGCCAAGGACTCAGGCCTGCATATCATAGCTGCCTGCAACCCTTACCGGAAGCACTCGCAGGAGATGATCTGCCGTTTGGAGGCAGCCGGTTTGGGGTACAGGGTCAGTGCGGAGGACACGGCGGAGAGGCTTGGCTCCATCCCCCTCCGGCAGCTTGTGTACCGAGTGCACGCTCTGCCGCCGAGCCTCATCCCGCTGGTGTGGGACTTCGGACAGCTGAACAACACCGCCGAGAAGCTCTACATCCAACAGATCGTGCAGAGGCTGGTGGACTCCATCGGGGTGGACGAAACCCAGATCCGTGCCATCACAGAGGTGCTCTCCGCCTCGCAGGGTTTCATGAGGAAGAAAGGGAACGAGTGCAGTTTTGTCAGCCTCAGGGACGTGGAGCGCTGCGTCAAAGTTTTCACGTGGTTTTACGACCACAGCAAGATGCTCCTGTCAAAACTGGACGCCTTTCTCCGCGAGTCCGCCGTTGACCAAAACGACTTTGAGAGAGATCCCGTCCTCTGGTCCCTGGTGCTGGCCGTCGGGGTGTGCTATCACGCCTCGTTAGAGCAGAAGGAGTCGTACTGGAGAGCCATCTGCAGGCTCTTTCCGGAACCCTATAACGACAGCAAGGTTATTCTGGAGGAGATCACCCGAACGCAGGATCTTTTCCTGAATGGAGTGTCTTTGCGGAAAACCATTGCTAGGAACTTGGCTTTGAAAGAGAATGTCTTCATGATGGTCATCTGCATCGAGCTGAAGATTCCCCTCTTCCTGGTGGGGAAGCCCGGCAGCTCTAAATCTCTCGCCAAGACCATCGTGGCGGACGCCATGCAAGGCCCGGCGGCCCACTCAGACCTCTTCCGGAACCTGAAGCAGGTCCACCTGGTGTCGTTCCAGTGCAGCCCTCACTCTACCCCCCAGGGCATCATAAGCACCTTCAGGCAGTGTGCCCGTTTCCAGCAGGGGAAGGACCTAGAGCAGTATGTGTCCGTGGTGGTGTTGGACGAGGTTGGGCTGGCAGAAGACTCGCCCAAGATGCCCCTGAAGGCTCTGCACCCGCTGTTGGAATACGGATGCATTGAAGACGACCCCGCCCCCCACAAAAAGGTTGGCTTCATAGGCATTTCCAACTGGGCCCTGGACCCTGCCAAGATGAACCGGGGTATTTTCGTGTCGCGCGGCAGTCCCAACAAGAAGGAGCTCATAGAAAGCGCCAAGGGCATTTGTTCTTCAGAGCCCCTGGTTCAACAGAGGGTCCAGGGGTTCTTTGCACCCTTTGCCAGAGCCTATGAAACAGTGTGTAAGAAGCAAGACAAGGAGTTCTTCGGGCTCCGTGACTACTACAGCCTCATCAAAATGGTCTTTGCCAAGGCGAAGGCGGCTGATAAGGAGCCGTCCCCGCAAGACGTAGCACAGGCCGTCCTTCGCAACTTCAGCGGCAAAGATGACATCCACGCCCTGGACATTTTCACGGCCAACTTGCCCGAGGCGAAGTGCTCAGAGGAGGTCAGCACCCTACAGCTGATCAAGCAGAACATGTACGGAGACTTTCGGAGGGCGTCAGGCCGGGAGCTGGACGACTCCGAATCCCGCTACCTGCTCGTGCTGACCAGGAACTACGCGGCCCTGCAGGTCTTGCAGCAGACCTTCTTCAGCGACGACCAGCAGCCAGAGATCATTTTTGGTTCCAGCTTTCCCAGGGACCAGGAGTACACCCAGATCTGCAGAAACATCAACCGAGTGAAGATCTGCATGGAAACAGGCAAGATGGTGGTCCTGCTCAACCTCCAGAGCCTCTACGAGAGCCTCTACGACGCACTCAACCAGTACTACGTCTACCTCGGAGGTCAGAAGTACGTGGACCTCGGTCTGGGCACCCACCGGGTCAAGTGTCGGGTCCACTCGGACTTCCGGTTGATCGTCATCGAAGAAAAGGATGTTGTCTACGAACATTTCCCCATCCCTCTCATTAACCGGCTGGAGAAGCACTACCTGGACATCAACACCGTCTTGGAGACGTGGCAGAAAAGCATCGTGGACGAACTCCAGGCCTGGGTGGAGAAATTCGTAGATGTGAAAGCAGAGCAGTTTGCAGCCGGACACAAATACAGCCCTTCTGAGGTCTTCATCGGCTACCACTCGGACGCGTGTGCCTCAGTGGTGCTGCAGGTCACGGAGAAGTTAGGCCACGGGGCCTTGACCGACGAGCTTTACCAGAAGGTGTCTGACGAGGCCAAGCTGATCCTGCTGGGCTGTGCCACGCCGGATTCTGTGGTTCGGCTGGGCGCTTCCTCCCTGGGCCTGTTTGCCGCCCAGGTGCTGGCTCGAGAATACTACCACACGCAGCACCATAGCTCCTTCGCGGACTTCCTCCAGGCCCAGCTGCGCACGGTGGATCCGGAGCGCCACGTCAGCTTCACGGAGGTGATGGTCTCTCTGTTATCCTTGTCCCCTTTCACACCGGAGGCCTTGGATCCCTCGTTCCCAGGATCCAGGGTTCTTTGCAAGGCAGTGCGTAGGATCATAAATGGATGAGTTGAGACTCTGGTTTCTCTCTGTGAAGCGGGAGAGACCCAGATGCTCAAAATAGCTCAAGCCAAGCGAGTCTTGAGTGCCTGTTTCCACGCAGCCCTCTGTGCTGATGGTAACGATATGTACCACGTTCGCTTCAGTAAATGAAGGGACACATTCGAGTGCCGAGCCGAGAGCACCGAGAATAGAAAGGCACCCGCCTTGTCCTTGGTCGGCACACAGTGTAACACTCGTGAATAGATCCCACTGACATCAAAAGACAGTGCTGTCCGTAGAGGCAGAGGGGGCCACACAGATCAGGGTATGAGGTCAGAGGACCTCAAGCTGATGACGAAGTGTGGCTGGGAAAGCATTAGAGGCACAGAGCCTGCTTGAGCAGAGGTGTCAAGGTGAGAAACAGGTCCAGGACTGGTCGCTGTGCAGCGTGAAGTTCAAGGATGCAAAGACCGAGAGACGGGGAAGAGACGCCATTGGAGACACTTGAGGGAGGGTCTCCTCAGTGACGCCGATGAGCTGGGTCTGCTGTAGGGACGGGAGAGATGGAGGAATGTGCGTTGAGATGTGTCCCCTTGCCTGGGGGAAGGAGGGAGAAACCCTGATAAAAGACTGTCAGAAAAGATAGGCCGGTCAGGAGACTGCTGGACCAGGGTAGTCGAGGAGAGGAGCAGGTGGACGGAATGGAGAAGTAGTTCGGATGTCAACTAGCAGAGCTTATGGCAGATTCTTTAAGGGGCTGTGGAAGACGGAGGGGCCTAGGGATGGGTCCCCAGATTATTCTTTGGATGACCGGAAGTCTGGGTAATCACAGTCCAGGAAGGAGCAACAGATGTTGATGGTAAATTCCATCTGGGACCGACTTTGATGCCCCTGAATCAGAGGCTCAGTGGCCGGGCGAGCCTGGAGCTGCGGGTTCTGGTGCTGAGCTGTCGGCACGCCCACGGGGAGTGTTTTGGTTTGCTCTGTGCGGGTGTGGCCTGGTGTCAGGGGAATGGTTAAGAGCTGTGGGACGGAAGGGACACCATCCGTGTGAACTCCATCTGGAGGTTCCCAGCAAGACTGTGAGGAGAAATGGCAGCTGTGTTGAGCCCCAGGCGACCATCAGAACGTCCATTAGGGGCCAAGCGGGAGAGAGACTGGTGTCCAAGGAGACGTGAAGGCACCAGGGGACAGGATGGGTCTTCCCTCTAGTCATAGCTTCTGTTTGCCTCGTTTGTAAAAACTCCGGGTTTGGATTCTTTTCTGTGTACCAACTGCCCAGTGCATGCCGAGCCCATAGAAGGGATTTGCTAAACATCCTCGCATTTCTAGGACCTAAACCCAGCAGGCCTGGAAGCCTGCCCTCGAATTCTCTCAAATACTTTGTATCTCCTGACTTTGCAGATCACCACCTTCTCCAGACTGCTGACCAGCCGTGACTGCGAAGAAATTTTGGAATCGGGAGGGAAGGACGGGGTCCTGAAGCCCATGATCCTATCTCTGCAGCAGTTCGACACCGAGTGCTCATTCCTCAGAGAAGTCCAGTGAGGCTCCGCCCTTCCACCCTGTCCCCTGCCCCCCGCCCCCCGCCCTGGCCGCTTGGCGCTTCACCCACACGGCTACAGAGACCACCAGGCTCTCACCAGCACTGGGTCATGAAGACCGAAGACATGTGACTGCACGGGGTGGTGGTTCGATACTCCAGTGCCCCCTCGTCTCTGCCGCCCTTTGCGTGGGCATCCTCGGGGTGGGGTGGGGGGCGTCCTTTCGTCTCACTAGGGAAGCATTTCCGGGGGTTTACGTGCTCTCCCCTGGCTTGTCCACTCGCACAAGGAGAACCTCACCTGAGTCACTCTTGGTCATCTTCTATTTCCCATCAGTCCTGGGGAGTTTTATCACCCGTTTCTTAGGGCGGATACTTTCCTTTTTCTTTCAGAAACTGCTTAACCGATGCAGCCAGGTGTAAAATCCTCATTATTCAAACAGATTTTGAAGATGGAGTCCGTAGTGCTCAGCTCATTGCTTCAGCTAAGTAGGTGTTTGGTATTTTTCTCAGAAATGACCTAAAAAGCCCAGGTTTTATTCAGGAGTTCCTTAAAAATGTCTTCCCTGGAAACAGGATAGTGTGAAGTTAACAAGAAAACAAAAATTAAAAGGTTCTCACTTTCATTCCCTACAGAATGTGGGCTAGAGAAAAAGCTATAAAGGGCAACAATGGTAAATTGTCAAGAAATGTAAATAATAGAGTATTAGTAGGATATTAAAGAATGTCCTGGAGGGGTCTCTGGGTGGCTCAGTTGGCCAAGCAGCCAACTCTTGATTTCGGCTCAGGTCATGATCTCACAGTTCATAGGTTCAAGTCCCAAGTTGGGCTCTACGCTGACAGCACAGAGGCTGCTTGGGATTCTCCCTCTCTCTTCTCTCTCTCCACCTCTCCCCCATTTGTGGGTGCATTCTTTCTCTCAAATAAGTAAATAGACTTAAAAAAAAAAGAGTATCCTGGAAATACATGTCTGTAGGCATGTCTTGGTAATTTTTCATTTTAAATGACATGATTAAAAATTTTTTTAATGTTAATTTTTTTATTAAAAATTTTTTTTTAAATGTTTTATTTATTTCTGAGAAACAGAGGGTCAGAGAGAGAGGGAGGCACAAAATCCGGAACAGGCTCCAGGCTCTAAGCTGTCAGCACCGAGCCTGATGTGGGGCTTAAACCCACAAACTGTGAGATCATGACCTGAGCTGAAATTAGATGCTCAACTGACTGAGCCCCCTCCCCGGGCTCCCCTAAATTACATGGTTTGAATGTGTCGCGAGTTCAACGACAATTGTGGCATATAGAAGCTTTCTATATTTATTAGACATTTTTGTGGTATTAGTATAAGGGAAATCTGGTACTTCTAGAATTAACTGTGGTTCCCTTACTATTTAAGTTAGGGGGAAGGTGATTTCTGTGTTTGGAAAACTCATTTGATAGCACGGTTGTGGGTTCACAGAACCCGGTTTCTCAAGATGGAGAGTTCAGCCAGCCTCACCCTTAGCAGCCTCCGAGCAGGCCCATCGAGGGTCCCGAGAACGGGCTCCCTGTCAATACGGAGACGGCACTTCTAAGCAGGACTCGGGAGCGGGGAAGAGAGCGCTCCTGCTGGGTCGGAGCCTGGAGGGCACACGGGCAGAAGGGCACGAAACGTATCTGAAGCTAACAAGACATGATGGGGCGCCTGGGGGCTCAGTCGGTTGAGCGTCCCATTTCAGCTCAGGTCACGATGTCACAGTTGGTGGGTTCAAGCCCCGTGTCGGGCTCTGTGCTGACAGCTCGGAGCCTGGAGCCGCTTCAGATTCTGTGTCTCCCTCCCTCTCTGCCCCTCCCCTGTCTGTTCTCTCTCTCTCTCTCTCTCAAAATTAAGTAAACATTTGAAAATAAATAAATAAGCCTAAATAGACGTAAGATTGAACCTGACTGCTCACGGGAGCGGTCAGCCACTTCCACAACGTTGGCTTTGTTTACTTGCTTGGGTTTTTTTGGTTTTGTTTTGACTTGGTTTGTCTTCGCTTGTTTTAAAACAGGTATTCTGCCATAAATGAAATCAACAAGATACAAGGGAATGAGGACTGCATCTTGGTCTATTTCATCACAAAACTGTCCCGGATAGAGAGCGGGGCGTCCTTCGTGGGATTCCACGGGGGTAGGAGGGAGATAGCAGCGAATATGCTTGCTTAGACAGTGTGTGAGCTCTACCTGATTTGCTCCGGGGGTGTCCAGTTCCGGGATCAGAGCACTGGTGTGAATCTCAGCAAGATTTGTGTCCGATGCAGTTAATTTTCTTAACCCCTTTTATTGTTAAGAAACACAGGTCTCTGGGCCCATCTACTAGTCAGTAGGCAAACACTGGGTTAGTCTCTCTGGTCCCTTGCCTTTTATTACACGGAGCCCAGAGAAGACACTCCAAAGTGGCATTGGAAGCACGGATACTTTGTGCCTGTTTCGGGGTGGGAGGGCAGGGAATGCTATCTTAAGCCTCTCTTTTTCCTCTGAGGAATGGGTCGCCAATTATTTCATGTATAAGAAAATTGGTATCCAAGGAATTGACAAATAACAGTTTATGTTAGAGTCGTCCTGCATAACGAGAGGTAAATCTTGCCAGTTTCCCTCACTCCTTTACTAGCTGTGGTGCAGTAAGTATACTAAAAACTATAAAAAGAATAAAAAACCGGGGTGCCTCGGTCAGTTAGACATCCGACTCTTGGTTTCGGCTTAGGTCATGATATCGGAGTTTGTGAGATCGAGCCCCACGTTGGACTCTGTTCTGACATTGCAAAGCCTGCTTAGGATTCTCTCTCCCTCTCCCTCTCCCTCTCCCTCTTTCTCTCTCTCTTCTCCTCCCCTGCTCATATACTCTGTGTCTCTCTCAAAATAAATAAACTTAAAAAAAAATCAAAAACCTTCAGATTCCCTTTACAAAAAGGCAGCTGTTTTCATTCTTACGACTGATGTTTGTAACATTCGTTGGCCTAGATGACAGAGTCAGGTGGCTTCCGCGTGTGATCCAGAGTCTGGACTGAAGGGTACAAGTCATTCAGCAGCAGGTGTATTTAAAAAAATTTTTTTAATGTTTATTTTTGAGAGAGAGAGAGAGAGCACAAACGGGGGAGGAGCAGAGAGAGAGGGAGACACAGAATCCAAAGCAGACTCCAGGCTCTGGGCTATCAGCACAGAGCCTGACCCGGGGCTTGAAGTCACAGACCACAAGATCATGACCTGAGCCGAAGTCGGATGCTTAACCGACTGATCCCCCCGGGCGCCCCTCAGCAGCAGCGTATTTAAACATCAGGACCTGTGGTGTGTCCCTGCTCGTGGCGGACCAGAGGACACTAGGAAAGCGTGGCGGCGTTCTCAGTGCCTTTACCCCTCACAGGGCTGTGGCAGTCTGTGCACATTGACGACCTCCACAAGTCCACGGCCATGGTTTCGGATGTGACCAAGTTGCAGGACGTGACCATCAGCCAGCTGTTCAAGCCAGAAGAGGACGCCGAGTGTAAGTCGGGAGGAGCCTTTGGGGGGACGAGGGTGGGCCAGTCGGAGTGGTGACCAGGGGCACGGAGGCGCAGGGAGGCGCAAGGCTGCCCTTCATCCCCGTCGAGTTCCCGCACCTGCCGCGTTGGGGGATGAGCCCCAGAGCACCGTCCGCTGCCTCCGAGGTCAGCATGCCTCCGTGGGGAGTGGGTCATCGTGGATGCGCCGGGCTCTGCAGGGGGGCCTCTGCTGAGTGTCAGACTCATGTTGCAGGCGCCCCGTGTTGGCCGCACGAGCCCCAGACGGAAGGGAAGGTTGCTGCTGGTGGAGTCCATGGCCCGGGCCTGTCGGAGGCTGGCCTGTGTGGCCCACCGCAGGGGCGAGGGACCAGCCCGCCAGCAGCTCCCTTCCTCAGCAGCATGATCGCGCTTCTGTTGCAGTGGAGATGGGACACGGGGCCAGAGACAGCTCTGAGGAGCCCATGGAAATCGAGGCTGCCGACGGGTCAGGGGAGGCGATGGACGACTCGGAGGCGACGGGCAGTGCAGAGCAGGGCAGGAGCCAGGTGGGTTCTGGGTCTTTCTAGTTCTCCCCGGACGCCAGGCTACCCCTCGGGCGGTTACCCCGTCTCCCGGAGTCCAGGCTCACGGTCAGGGCGGGATCCGACCCGGCTGAGTCCCTGAGCGCCCAGGGCCCCCGACTCTCGAGGGCCGGAGCGGGGAGGCCTGACAGCCCCTGTGACGCGGGCAGATCATGGACATGCTGAGGAGCTGCGTACAGGGAGCCGTGGGCATGCTCCGCGACCAGGACGGCCGTCAGCGCAGCGTGCGGAGAGTGGAGGTTCTCCTCAGCCTCCTGGACGACGACGACCAGGTCAAAGGTACGGAGCCCCGGGGGCGGCACCCGGGGGCGCGGCCGTCACCCCTGCGGTCCCCAGGCCACGTGGAGGCTGCAGGTGCGGCGGGGACCCCAGCACACTTCCTGATTCCTACCCGAGACCCTGGGGCCGCGGGACGCCCGCTGCTCGGTGCCCGTGGGTGATGCCGCAGGGGTGCGTCCTCTGCTTCTCCGCAGCCGCGTTCTTGCGGGTGTGCAGGGCGCGCCTCTACGCGCTCCTAAAGCAACAGGAAGACCAGTGCCTGTTCAACACGAAGGCGTGGGTGACCCGGGAGGCCACGAACCAGGATGCTCTCCAGGAGGCGGGCACGTTCAGGTACTGAGGGGGGCCGGGCGGGCCCCGGCCCTGGACGCTCGCCCGCGCTTCATCTGAAAGCTCCGAGCGGTTCGCAGCAGCCACTTGTTTTCCCCAAAAGGGGCAGGACAGTCCGGGTGGAGGTTAGACGGCGCTTGCTGGACCCCCGTCTCCTCTTCTGTGTGTCCCTGTTCTGTCATGACAACAGCAAACTTACAAAAGTAGAAGTGTGTCCCCGCAGGGCGTGTGTGTCCCCCAGGGTGTGTGTGTCCCCGCAGGGCATGTGTGTCCGCGCAGGGCTGTATGTGTCACCCAGGGCGTGTGTGTCCCCGCAGGGCTGTGTGTGTCCCCCAGGGTGTGTGTGTCCCCGCAGGGCGTGTGCGTCCCTGCAGGGCTGTGTGTGTCCCCCAGGGTGTGTGTGTCCCCGCAGGGCATGTGTGTCCCCGCAGGGCTGTGTGTGTCCCCGCAGGGCGTGTGTATCCCCGCGGGTCAGGACGTGTGTCCCCGCAGGGCTGTGTGTGTCCCCGCAGGGCTGTGTGTGTCCCCCAGGGTGTGTGTGTCCCCGCAGGGTGTGTGTGTCCCCGCAGGGCTGTGTGTGTCCCCGCAGGGCTGTGTGTGTCACCCAGGGTGTGTGTGTCCCCGCGGGTCAGGACGTGTGTCCCCGCAGGGCTGTGTGTGTCCCCCAGGGTATGTGTGTCCCCGCAGGACGTGTGACCCCGCAGGGCTGTGTGTGTCCCCGCAGGGCTGTGTGACCCCCCGGGTCAGGACGTGTGACCCCGCAGGGTGTAAGCCGGACCAGCGGGGTCGCCCGCAGAAGTGGCTGCTGTTTTAGGCTCCGGGGAAGGGCACAGGCAGGGACGGAAGGGAATCATTTTCCCAGGCCTGCTGCTTAGTCGAAGTCATTTGATAATGACAAATGTGGGTCTGGGAGTGTTCATGTATCGCCTGTGGGCCTTTTTCCGTGAAACCTGGACCCTTTTCTCAGGACTAAGCCAAGTCACCTGCTGTCGTGGAGGGGGTGGGACACAGTGCGTCCCGCAGGGAAGGTTCAGCCGCCCGGGTCTGCAGGTCCTCTGAGGCCAGTCACACGTCACTGTGGCCCCGCTTCTCGCCTCTGAAGGAACGTTCAGCTCATCTGAGCTCATACAGGCCCCGTCTTCCCCAGGCATGATTGCTGTGGCCTCGGGGACCCTGCCTCTGTGTGACCGGCCGGCGGGAAATGTGGGAGCCCTGAGTCCTGGTGCTGCTTTCATTGCTCTGGGGGGAGGTTCCTGCTTCTAATTTTTTCTCTAGTTATTCTTCATTTCTTTCTCACTTATACTTTCTGAGTAAGGAATTATATAAGATCAGGTATTAATTTAGATCATTTCTCTTGGTTACTCCTTACAGATAAAATTAAAAAAAAATTTTTAATGTCTATTAATTTTTGAGAAAGAGAGAGAGACAGATAGAGTGTGAGCAGGGGAGGGGCAGAGAGAGGGGGGGACACAGAATCCAAAGCAGCTCCAGGCTCCGAGCTGTCAGCACAGAACCCGACACGGGGCTTGAACCCATGGACCGTGAGGTCATGACCTGAGCTGAAGTCAGACGCTCAACTGCCTGAGCCCCCCAGGCGCCCCTCTTCCTTCTTTTTAAAATGGAGCCTTACTTTCTCTCCCCAACATTAGCCACCTAGTAGTAGATTCCTTGCGGTGTGTTACAGAGTTCATGATTATGCGTAAACATCATTATAACAAATACAGCAAAGCTGGCGCGAGCAGGGAGATGAGGGTACAAATGTAAACATCCTTGGGTCCAACAAACACAGACATCAGTACAACCTTGTTCTAAAGAACCACGTACTTTCCTATTTAACTTGACCTGGAACACATTTATTTTGCCCTGTGCTTTATTATTTTCTCCCTCCAACTGTTGTGTTCTTAAAATAGCGTTTAGTTTTTCACCCAAATGAATGTGGTCCCTATTTTCTTTAGAGATCCTAGGTGCCTTGCTCTGGGGAAGAAGCTATATAACAAAACACGACAGATGCTTCTTGACCTCTTCAGGCACCTGATTCGATGTAGAATTAAGGTCCATTCCGGTCCTGCCTCCAGTCCATTTCTACTTGTGAATTTTTCTGCGGGTACTTAACAACGATGGGAATTTTCGTTTATCGCCAGAGCTGTGCTGTTGGATTGTAGACCAGATGTCCTGTGACTCTGGAGCCCAGTGTCACCAGGACAGAGCCGTCCCGCCCCCTGCTCCGTGCCTGCTGAGCCAGAACGCGGTCTTCTGTCTCCCTGCTGCAGGCACACCCTCTGGAAGCGGGTCCAGGGCATCGTGACCCCCCTCCTGGCGAGCATGGTGTCTGTCCTCGACACAGACAGCAACCTCGAGCTCCTGATCACGCCGGACGCTCCATCCTGGACGAGAGACCTTTGGATGTTTATTTTCCGTGACATCAAGCTTCTGAACATTCCTCTTGTGACAAATGATATGAGGTGAATAGGAGGGAAGGGGAAAATAAGGCCACTGCCGTCTTCATACGCTCATCCGAGAAGCTGCTGGGGTGTGGGCGTGGACTTCAGAATCACATTTACGTGCTGGATCTGGGGCGCCTGGCTGGCTCCTGTCGGTTGAGTGTCCCACTCTTTTTTTTTTTTTTTTTAATGTTTTATTTATTTCTAGGGGGGAGAGAGAGAGAGAGAGAGAGAGAGAGAGAGACAGCGTGAGCAGGGGAGGGTCAGAGAGAGAGAGAGAAACAAAAACTAAAACAGGCTCCAGGCTCAGAGCTGGCAGTCAGCACAGAGCCCGACGCGGGGCTCGAACCCACGAACCGCGAGATCATGACCTGAGCGAAAGTCGGACGCTTAACTGACTAAGCCACCCAGGTGCCCCTTGAGTGTCCCACTCTTGAGGTCAGCTCAGGTCATGATCTCCCAGTTCCTGGGATCGAGCCCCAAGTCAGGCTGTGGAGCCTCCTTAAGATTCTCTCTGCTTCTGCCCCCGCCCTGCTCACGTGTGCATGCCCTCTCTCTAAAGTTAAAAATTAAACAACTGAATGCTGGGTCTGTTCACAGCCTAAGGGTGATGGCATCGCTGTAACAAACAGGGGGTTTGAAAGTCCTGAAAATTCCTAGTTTCATCCCCTGCCTCACGGCCGTGCTTTCAGAGCTCCATCCCAGGCAAAACGGCCGGCTTTGGCCTCTTCCGAACTGGAGAGGCTGTGCTTCGGAGAGCCCTGAGATCTGTCCCTCGCTCCGTGGTGGGAGCCACACGCCCTCCCCCGGGCCTGCCCTTGCACAGCTCACTCCCAGCCGGCCTCCCAAAAGTTTCCTCTTTGGATCTCAGGGGCTTTGATTTTGGAGAGTGTGGGTGAATAAAGAATACGCGAGTGCATAGGTTCCTGGATCTCGGGTGGAAACACTTGTTTAGACGACAGGGCACTGTCGACCCTGAGGGAAAGGGTCGCATCTGACGAGCCACGTTCTGTATGCGGAGGTAGAGGGTGAGGGGAGGTCCAGGCACCGCACGGCCCGGTCCCTCCGCAGACTTGGGGCAGCCTGCTTGACCCTTCCCAGCCTTGTTTCGTTGTTGTCTGTGACACAGAGATGACATATGGACATGCTTGAGTCCGTTCGTAACGGAAGCCCTGAGCTGTGGTCTGGGCCAGCGGGCCATCCCCGTAGCCTTTTAGGCACCAGTGTCGTTGAGCCTGGAGAGGAACTGGCATTTGTGCTGGGTCCTGTGTCTTGAGCAACGTCTCACGGACCCTTTGCCCGGCTGCAGGTCTAAAAGCGAGATGCCCTACGTTGTGGTGCAGAACTACATGGCGCCTCCCAAGGACGTCTCCAGCAGTGTCCCGTTTAGCTGGAGAATCAAAGACTATCTGGAGGAGCTGTGGGTGCAGGCTCAGTACATCACCGGAGCTGAAGGTGAGCCCCCAGGGATGCCACGAAACAGGACATGTGCCGACACCCCGTCATAAGTGGGTCATTCCCGTTCGGAAGCTTCTGGACAGCTCGGGCATCAGGACTCAGGAGACGGCCGTAGCTGAGCCTTTCCCAACAGCATCAATGACCATAGTGGAATAGCTTTGTCCAAACCACGCGGTCAGTGTCCTTGGGAGCCATGCGGCTCCTTGCTCTGCTGTCACAGGTCAAGCGGCCTGGCCAAAGGCATCCAGGGAAAACCAGGGATGACACATGCTTTGGAAAAGTCATCCTGCCATCTTTCATGCATGAAGTTGTCTTTTCAACGTTTACTTATAGTATTGCCTATAGGTGAAGGGCGCCTGGGGGGCTTAGTCAGTTACACATCCAACTTTGGTCCCGGTCATGATTTCGCAGTCCGTGAGTTCGAGCCCCGCATCGGGCTCTGTGCTGGCAATTCGGAGCTTGGAGCTGCTTCGGATTCTGTCTCCCTCTCTCTCTGCCCCTCCCCTGCTCACGCTGTGTCTCTGTCTCTCTGTCCCTCAAAAATAAACATGAAAAAAAAAAACAAGTCAAAATACTTGAAGGCGAACTTCTGTAGGTAAGCGTTCTGCCTCGTTTTTGGAACGAACTGAACAGTCTGGGTCCCGAGGAAGTAGTATTCCCTGTCTCGAGGCCGTACCCGCCCTGAGCCTGCTTAGCGGTGCTGGTGTGTGGTCTGCAGGCTGGCACTTCACCACTAGGAGGCGCGTCTTCCCGGCATGAGCAGCCCGTGACCCCAGCCCCCCAAGAGCAGCTCTCTCCCTGCTGACCCACTTGGATCCTGGGGTTCCCAAGCACGATATGATCTGCTAGACATCAAACCTGCTCTGTCTCCGATCGTTTTACCCCTTTGGGGCCAGCGGGGCCGTGGGTGACTGGAACGGAATGTGTGTTCTGTCTTTGTCTCTTCCTCCTCTGGAGACTCGTCTGAAGGGTCTAGAAACGGCCATTAAATCACGCGGCCCCGACTCCCCTTTGCTGAGAGCTGCCCTTCAGCAGAGCCGCATCCCTCCCTGGGGCCCGCAGGCCAGGAGCCACGCCTCACGCTCTCCCTCCACGCCCTCTGTGCTTCCCCTCTGCAGGACTGCCGAAGAAGTTGGTGGAAGTCTTTCAGCAGACCCCTCTGGGCGGGTTTCTCGCTCAGCTCAGTGCAGAAGAAGAGGAGGACCTCTTTCTTGGCTACATAAAGGACTTCCTCCTCTTGACCATGAGAGCGTCCACATGGGAAGAACTGAAGGTAAGTGCTCGCTCGGGGGGTGGGGGGGGTGGGACGTGGCCAGGCTGCAGCCACGGGGGCCCTTCCTCCACCCTTGGCCTCCTGCCCGGGGCCCCTGAATCACGGACTTTCCATTCACACAAGGAAGGCCTCCAATTTCCCTGTAACACCTTTTTATTTTTCACTTGTTTTACTTTTTTATTTTATTAATTTTTAACACGTTTTCAAATGTGGAGTGTCTCTCGAAGAAAATTAGGTATATGTTTAACTGGCCACCGCAGCTAATAACTAACTGAAATTTCAGTGGACATTAGGATACTGCTGATTACGTAGTGGGTTCGCACTTGAGTACGTAAAAGAGGAAAATGACCCATTTGAGGACGACATACTTATAACCAGCATGATTAAGGGCTAATAAAATATTCTTAGGAATCCCAGGGGCGCCTGGGTAGCTCCGTCAGGGGAGCATACGACTCGATCTCAGGGTCACGAGTTCGAGCCCCATGTTGGGTGTAGATGTTACTTAAAATATAAATGAAATATTCTTAGGAATTGATAAGAAAGTTTCCTAATTTTAAAAACTAAATGAAGGTTATAAACCAAGTATTAACAGAGATCCAGAAAACATTAGAAAAACTATCCAGCCTCACTGGTAAGTCAACAAAACATGAACGGTTTTTAGGTACTGTCTTTACCTGCCATGTGGCAAGACTGGTGTTTTGGATTTTGGTTTTTGGTTTTTTTGAGAGGGAGGGAGAGACAGAGCTCGAGCAGAGGAGGGGCAGAGAGAGAGAGGGAGGTGCAGAATCCAAAGCAGGCTCCAGGCTCTGAGCTGTCAGCACAGAGCCCGATGTGGGGCTCGAACCCACAAAACTGTGAGATCATGACCTGAGGTGAAAGATGTTTAGTGGACTGGGCCAGCCAGGCGCCCCAAAACTGGTTTTTAACTGGACCCAGAATCAGCCCCCCACCCCTGTTGCAGACGGTGCTGCGAACCAGAACCAGCATGTGCTTCTGGAAAAGCCTGAAGGATTGGATCAAGAGCCTTAGAAAATTGAACTGGTGGTTTTGTCCTGGGGGTATTATCCGATGTGGACAAACGCGTTCTCCGTAGGAATGTTCCTTCCAGCTTTGTTTCTTAAAATGGGGGGGAAAATAGAAACCATTTAATCATCCGTAATTAAAAGCCAGACAATGGGGCGCCTGGGTGGCTTAGTCGGTTAAGCGTTTGACTTTCGCTTAGGTCATGATCTCGCGGTTTGTGGGTTCGAACCCCGCATCGGTGCTGACTGCCAGCTCAAGCCTGGAGCCTGTTTCAGAGTCTGTGACTCCCTCTCTCTCTGACCCTCCCCTGCTCACGCTATCTCTCTCTCTCTCCTAGAAATAAATAAAACATTAAAAAAATTTTTTTTTAAAAAGTCATAAATTACAGCCATCTGATTGGTGATTGGCTGTTTTAACGGGCGCACACATTCACAGTGGTGTTTTTCCAGCGTATTTAACAACGGAGAAATCTTCACAGCGTGATGTTAAGTGGGGAAAAAAATCAGAAATACGCCACGGTCGTGATTTGAGGACAAAATGGGGACAGGGTATGGATAGAAGGTGCCAACACGGGTGACACCACAGCGTGCCGAGGGACAGTCAGCGTGTGGGGCTTTTACGTTTCTCTTTGGTTATTTTGGAGCGGTTGGAATTTTCCACTGTGAAAACATTGCTTTGGGTTTGTTTCCCAGTGTGCACGTGGCACTAAAATCTCGTTTCTCACCCCAGATTTTGCAGGTGGCGCTGAGGTCCTGCGTCTGTCAGCTGCAAGCGCAGAGGCCGCAGGAAAGGGTCTCCTTACCCTGGGTGCACATCGCTTATCAGCACTTCCGCAGCCGGCTGCAGAACTTCTCCAGAATCTTGACCATCTGCCCCCAGATCCTACAAATGTTACTCTACAACATCATGGGAACCACAAGGAACGACAGATTGGATGGACCTGAGCTGGTATGGCCTCTCCTGGGACGTTGTGTTCACGGTCAGGGCTTGGCCTTCATAGGGCGGGCGGAGGGCGGGCGGAGGGCGGGCAGAGGGCAGGGGCAGGTGGAGCTTGGGTGGCAGGTGGGGGGCGGGCGGAGGGTGCTTCCACGGCCGCCCGAGACGGGTGAGCCCAGGTGCCGTGCCCTGCGTGGGCACCCCCTTCCCGGGCCGTGTGCCCAGCGAACACATCTGACTGATGCTTCCCGTATCCCGGGACCAGAGGAGGAGGCCCCGAGCCTGCAATTGGAGACCACGTTGGGCTCACAGCCTGGACCTCTGGGCTCAGGACTTAGAGCAGCCACAGGGGGCGCTGCTCAGTCGGGTTTGTTCTCTGTCCCCCCACTGCCTCCGCCAGACTCTGGATGCATTTGCGGCGATGGCCTGCACGGAGATGCTGACGAGGGACGTCCTGAAGCCCAGCCCCCAGGCCTGGCTGCAGATGGTGAAGAGCCTGTCCATGCCGCTGGAGCTCCTGTGCTCGGACGGGTACCTGCAGAGCTGCGGGGGGATGGCCAGAGACGTCATCAGGGAGGTCAGGTGAGGCCAGGAGCCCGCCCCCCCAGCCCCTTTCCCACGGGCCGTGGGGTGCTTTCTCTTGCCACAGAAGAGGGTCCTTTCCTTACTCACCTGCTTCATGTCCGCTGAGCCTCTTTCGCCACCAGGCATCATGCCGGTGCTGGAGAAAACAGATGCTGGGGCATTCCGGGAGCACCCCGGGGGGCAGGGGGCCACAGAAAGGGGGGCAGATCCTGTGGTCCCCGCGGTCCCCGCAGGAGAAGTGCAGGCATGGGGGAGCAGCGGGAAGGGCGGCAGAGAGGGGATAAGCAGTCAGAGTAGGTGTCCCGGGGCCTTGCAGGGTGAGGGGGCGCGTGGCCCCGAGTCTGTGGGAGGGCGCCGGGGACACGGAGGTGGCTGGGGGCCGGGAGCACGCCGCAAAGGGCCTCTCCGGAGTCTTCTGTCTGCCTTCACCGCATCCCGTCCTCGGATCCCTGCCTGTGCCCGGGTCCTGGGGTCTCGGGTGCCCTTGTCACAGCCCAGTGTCCACCCGCCCTTACAGAACCCAGTGGAACCGCATTTTCCCCGTGGCCCTGTTCGTGGAACACGTGCTTCTGGGGATCGAGAGCCAGATCCCTGAGCTGCGCGAGCTGGTGACAGAGCACGTCTTCCTGCTGAACAAGGTGAGCTGGTGCCCTTCCCGGGTCGCGGGAGCGTCACCTGCCCTCCCGGCAGGGTGACCTTCCTCCAGCCCTGTGCCGGCCTTGCCTGGAGGTGCGGGGGGCGCGATCTCCCCACAGCAGCCGTTAAGCCGTGTGTTCAGTGGTCTGATCGTCTGAGCGCCGGGTCAGGGCGCACCGTGCAGGCACCGCGGCCGGAGTGCAGACAGGCGGGTGCCCTCCAGCCTGTCGGGGGCTGAGGGCTGGGCTCCCTGCAGGCGTCTAGGCCTCCAGGCCCGGCGCAGCCCAGCAGCCTGGCCCTCTGGGGGGCAGGCGGCCTCCGCGGCGTCAGGAAGTCGGGTTTGCGGGAGAACACCACGGCGCTGTGGCCCTTCCGGCCCGGGTGCTGTGGGGGGACCCGGGGAGCTGGAAGCCCCTGGGCCTCTGCCACGTGGCCCCCTTTGTAGAGTTAGGGACGCTCAGGACGGTGCTCCTGTGGGAAGAGCCACTGTCTCCGCGGCCACGCGCCCAGCGGAAGGTGGGCTCTGCCTCGGCGACCCTGGGAGCTTTGCACGAACGCACCTGATGGCGCCGGCTGTCCAGGCTTTGACGTGCGGGCCGCACGCTCCGAGGAGGGTGGGTATTGGCAGCAGAAACGAAGTGCGAGCTGACGTCCCTCTCGTAGGACAAGTGGGAGCCGCGGCAGCGGGCCGCTCCCCTGCACAGGATCCCCCCTCCTCCGTGCTGTCCCTCTGTCATTCTCACTGTACGACCTCCCTGCACTGCGCCGTCTGAGCGGGCTGTTCCTGCCGTCGCCACAGGCTGTTTTAAGAGCACAGCCCGGAATATATATGCCCCCTGCTTGAGGTCGCAGCTGACCGTGCTGGGCGTGGTCACGGCCCCCCCGGCCCCTGCTGCTACTGGGGAAAGAACTCTAGGAAACACTGGCCTCCGCCACCCCTGCAGGGGGCAGGCGTGCATGACGCCCTTCCTCCCGCACAGACGCCAGTTCTGCATGGTCCCTAGTGGCCAGGTGACCCTCGAGCTGAGAGATGAGTCATCTGGCCCCTGGGCTTTATCAGGCCCGACATGTGGGGCGACAGTCCTCAAAAACTTAGTGGTTTTCCAGCTGGTTTTTTTCCGGTCACATCCCTGTGTGAGTGACCGCCGGCCAGAGGTCTTTGCTAATTCACTTTCACACCTGAAGCCTCTTGGGTTTGTGGCCTCAGGCTCTGCTCTTCCCCTCCAAGGACAGCCTGAGGCCACTTGCATGGCCTGGAAGGCTGGCCCCCGTGGTCTGGCCGGAAGAAAGCCTTAACCGGGAAAGGCACAGGGCCTCGACCTCTCTCTTCCAGCGAGGCTGCCCTAGAGTTAGCCTGCGCTAGGTCAGCACAGCCTCCCACAGGCCCCTGGTAAAAGCTGTAAAAAGGTGGATATTCTGAGTTTTCTCAGTTCTGATAGAAAGGATGAATGGATGGGTGGGTGGGTGGATGTAGATACATAGGTAGATATAGATAGATGATGGATGGATAGATACATATAGGTAGGTATAGATGGATAGATAATAGATTAGGTCGATAGATAATTGATAGGAGAGGGAGGGGGGGAGGGAGGGAGCTCTCTTGATCTGTGACCTGCCTTCCATGGTGTCACAGACGACAGTTGTTCTGTTGGCTTCCCAGTCTGTAACCACCCTGTCCTTACCATCCCCCGTCCAAACACTAGATTACTGCCATTTGTTTATTGTGGCAGGACACACATCACATACAAGTCACCATTTTAACCATTTTTAGGCGTACAATTAAGTGGCACGAAGTACGTTCGCACTTGGTCCAAGCATCCCCACTCTCTGTCTCCAGAACTCTTGTGTCCTGCAAAACTGAAACTCTGTCCCCAACAAACACTCACTCCCTGCCCCTGCCCATCCCCCGCCCCGGCCCTGGCGCCCACCATCCTACTTTCTGCCTGTGGCTTTGACGGCTCTAGGGACCTCACGGAAGTGGGGTCCTACAGTACTTGTCCTCTGTGACGGGCTGACTTCCCTCTGCGTGTCCTCGAGGCCGTCCATGTTGTAGCAGGCGCCAGGACTGTCTTCCTCTATAAACTGAGTAATGTCCCGTTGCGTGGCTGGGCAGACCCGATTTGCTGGTCCGGGTACCTGCTGGCGGGTTCACACCGTGAACACAGATGTGCACGTACATATCTGAGTCCCTGCTTTCAGCAACTTTGGAAACGGCCCTCCCTAGAAGTGGGATCGCTGGGTCCTATAGAAACTTGGTGCTTATCTTTCTGAGGAGCCACCAAGCCGTTTCACAGCGGCGGCACCGCCCACTCCTACCGGCCGGGCCCCCAGGTTCTGATTTCGCCATATCCTTCCCGACACTTGTTATTTTTTGTTCTCTTTTGTTTATCAGCACCGTCCTCATGGTTGAATCACTTTGTGGTTTTGCTTTGTGTTTCCCCGAACGACTGATGACATGAGCATCTTCCTAATGAGCTTATGGCCCAATTATGCGTCTTCTTCAGAGAAACGTCTGTTCGAGTCCTTTGCTTCCCTTGGAATTAGCCTGTTGTTTAACAAATCAAATTTAGCAGGGTACTAAAAGCCTATACCATTTCAAAGTAAGATCAATCCTGAGACTTCAAAGATAGTTCAGAATCATAAAATCCACAAATGTTCTCAGTTACCTATCAAATTTAAAGATAAGCTTTAAATGATCACTTCAGAAGGGACAGGAAACGCATTTGATAAAATTTATGAGGTGGAAAAAAGAATAGAAGGAGATCCTCCTTACGCTACTAGAGCCCAAGGGTGTAAATATTATAAAGATATGTATTGCAAACATCATGCCTAAGCGCAAAATTACAGAAGCACGCCAGCAAACCCTTACCGTGTATCATTGAAGATGTGCATTTCCTAAAATCCAGAGTCTCCGTTTCTGAATACAAACCCTAGAACCTTCTTGCTGGTCTTAGATGGTCAAGTGGAAGGATGTTGGAGGCAGCACAGGGGATGTTCTAGATGCCTGGTAACCAGAAAACAAGTAGCGCGCTTGTCTGCCAGTAGGCATCATAGAGCAGGGAGCATGTCAGGACTGAGGTGTGGCAGCAAGAAAAGCAAGTTCGAGAAGCTTGGGTACGGTGTGATAGAACTGATGCAAACTTTATATTCAAAACAGTAGCGTGATCTTCATGCACGTGTGCAGATGTACCGGACGTGGGCATTTCGGGAGGTGGTCCTCCGTGCGAGGGGAAGGCGAGAGACGCCATCAGAAGGGCGCGCGTGGAGTTACAGCTCTATCTGCCACATTTGGTTTCTTAAAAAAACTATCTAAAGTAAACATTCCAAAAATGCGAGGATTTTTTTAAACTTTTTTTTTTAACGTCTATCGTATTTTTTTTTAATGTTTTATTTATTTCTAGGAGAGAGACAGAGACAGCGTGAGCAGGGGAGGGTCAGAGAGAGAGGGAGTCACACACTGAAACAGGCTCCAGGCTCTGAGCTGGCAGTCAGCACAGAGCCCGACGCGGGGCTCGAGCCCACGAACCGCGAGATCATGACCTAAGCGAAAGTCAAACACTTAAACGACTAAGCCACCCAGGCGCCCCAACGTCTGTCTTATTTTTGAGAGACAGAGACAGAGCATGAGCAGGGGAGGGTCAGAGAGAGAGGGAGACACAGAATCTGAAGCAGGCTCCAGGCTCTGAGCTGTCAGCACAGAGCCCGATATGGGGCTCAAACCCACGAACCGTGTGACCTGAGCTGAAGTCAGACCCCCAACCGACTGAGCCCCCCAGGCACCCCAATGCTAAGATTTCTTAAAGCTTGGTGGTGGATCCACCAGTGGTCATTATGTTATCGTTTATAAAGTTTGAAATATCTCATAATGAGAGCAGAAGTGTGAACCTTAAAAGAAAGAGAGGCAGGGGGAGCACAAGTTGTGAACCTCGCCACTCCCCACCCCAAAACAGCATGATGGTGAAGGGCATTCAAAGCTAGAGAAACTGCTAGAAACAGAAAGGCCTCACCGTGCAGGCAGACAGGACAACCCCAGCGCCCAACTCCCGCCGGCGGCCTGAGGTGTCCGAGGTGTGCCGTGTCACCCGGGAACGCCGTGTGGGCTGCCCCAGCTCTGCCCTCCCTCACTGCCCCCCCCCACCCCCCGTCTTTCAGTGTCTGCAGGAGAACTCCAACATCAAGACCTACAGGCCTTTCGCCGCTGTGATGGTGACTCTTCGTACGTGTAAGGAGCGGGCCAGCAAGACCCTCTCCAGGTGAGATCTGTGGCCGAGACCCGTGCGGAGACGGCCCTGCGCGTGTGGTGCGTGCAGCTTCACAGCCGCTCGCCCTTCTTGGACCCCAGGGTTGACATTGAGCCGTGCCCCGTCTGCCTGGGAGACGCGCGGGACCCCGTCTGCCTGCCCTGCGACCACGTGTTCTGCCTGGCCTGTGTCAAGGTCTGGCTCATTACAGGCCAGATGAGATGCCCTCTGTGCCTGACAGACCTGCCAGAAGACTTCTCTCCAGCAGTGTCCCAAGAGCACAGGTGAGTCACCCTTTCTCTTAAAAAGCCTCCTCTCCTTTTTCTTCCTTTTCGCCAAGTACGGTATTCGGAAAGATAAACTGTATTAACCTTAGAAACCCTGACTTCAGGGGCGCCCGCGGGGCTCAGTCAGTCAAGCATCTGACTTCGGCTCAGGTCACGATCTCACGGTTGGCGAGTTCCAGCCCCGCGTCAGGCTCTGTGCTGACAGCTCGGAGCCTGGAGCCTGCTTCCGATTCGGTGTCTCCCTCTCTCTGCCCCTCCCTGCTCTCACCCTGTCTCTCTCTCTCAGAAGTAAATAAACATTAAAAAAAATTTTTTTTAATGAAAGAAAGCCTGAACACCTGGCTTCAGAGAACCGTCCTAAGAGAGGCAGCCGCTTGTGTAACCTAAAAGCACGTAGTGTCGCAAAATGATTCTCTCCCCAAGGCACACACGAGAATAGATTTGGGAGATGACCCGATGAGAGGAAATAAACCAGAAAAAGTCGTAAATGATAGAAAACCATCACGAGACCCCAGGAGCTGAGGCGGAAGGGGTGTGCCTCTCTCGACCCGAGGGCAGAGCTCGCTCCTGCCTGGCCACACACTCGTCGCGGCGGTAGTTGGCATCAGTGGCAGGTCTGTGGGCTCAGCCGACTCAGGCTGTGCCCCAGTGACCCGGCAGCCTTCGCCTCCCCCGCCCTCCCGATGCCTCCTGGAGACGGGGCACATGGCCAGCCCAGGGGGCAGGGTCTTTGCAGACTTTAGGAGACCAGGGTATCGCTGGCTGGTGCGAATGATTGAATGATCAGGGTGCCCCTAGAAAGAGACGAGTCTGCACACCGGCCAGCTGGCAGTTTGCACGCAGCCCCTCGAAGCACCGGAAGGAGATACTTGTATCTCCTTACTGAAGAACACGAGGTGCCCGGCCATGTGCGGGGATCCGCCGCACCCTGGCTAGGCGCACTGACCGGGCCTCCCCACCGCCCCCAGGGACGCCGTCCAGAAGCATGCCTGCATCCGGCAGATGTGCAATAGTTTCTTCATCGAACTGGTTTCCACCATATGCTTCAAGGATAATTCCCCGCCAGAGAAGGAGGTGGTAGAGGTTCTGCTAAGTCTACTCTTCGTGCAGAAGGAGCTCCTACGAGACACTTACCAAAGTAAGTTGCTTCCTTCCCGTAGACCGATAGGTTCACTTTTTGTGTCTGATGTGACCAGCGAGCTACCTCTCTTTGGTTCAAGGACACCAGGAACACACAAAGTCTCTCTCCCCGTTCGACGACGTTGTGGATAAGACCCCGGTCATCCGCTCAGTGGTGCTGAAACTGCTTTTGAAGTACAGGTGAGCACAGCCAGCCTGGAGCGTGCTCCCAGAAGCTGCTTTGGGGGGAACATCTGCAGTGAGGGACCACCCGTTTGTGTGCGTGACATCTTTGGCTGTAGGCAAATGAGTTCAGCATGGCTACGAGGCACCTTGTTGGGAAGAGGAAGGCAGGTTTCAGGGAGAGGAGTGTGGTGCTGCGTCCTGTGCAAGAACCCATGAGCCCCTCATGGTTCTGAGCCCCCTCGCGCAGCTACCTTGTTTTGGGTTTGGGGGGGGAAGGACGGTAACATAGAGCGCCCCCGCCCCCCTCCCATAGTCCTAGGCGTCACCTAGATTTTGTTCCAGTGGTTATATTTCTCTGCCTCTGTGAATGGACAGAGACGCTCACATGGTGCCAAAGGTCATCAGTCTTGTCAAATTGTGGTGTTTTAGAGAACGCTTAGCAGGCTGATCTGTGCCCAGGGCTTCTCGCAGAGGACACTTAGTGCACTCGGCCTGTGTGCTGACTTGACCAAGTGTACTTGAAGGTGATGGCCAAATCAAGATGCTACAGGAAAAGTTCCACCAGATGGGGACGCGCCAGTGGCGCAGTCAGTTAAGCGTCCAACTTCGGCTCAGGTCATGATCTCACAGTTTGTGGGTTCGAGCCCCGCGTCGGGCTCCGTGCTGACAGCTCGGAGCCTGGAGGCTGCTTCGGAATCTGTGTCTCCCTCTCTCTCTGCCTCTCCCGTGCTCATGCGCTGTCTCTCTCTGTCTCTCAAGTATAAATAAAACATTTTAAAAATTAGGGAAAAAGTTCCAACAGAAACGATTTCTAACATAAACGCCAAAGCAGACGCAGAATAGAGATTACATTTACATTTAAAGCCTAAATCTTCTGATTAAAACAAAACAAAGCAATGGGGCGCCCGGGTGGCTTAGTCGGTTAAGCGTCCGACTTTCGCTCAGGTCATGATCTCGCGGTTCGTGGGTTCGAGCCCCGCGTCGGGCTCTGTGCTGACTGCCAGCTCAGAGCCTGGAGCCTGTTTCAGTCTGTGACTCCCTCTCTCTCTGACCNAAAAAAAAAAAAAAGATAAAATAAAATATGTTTAAAAAAAAAAACAAAACAAAGCAAAACAAAAAACACATGGACCTTCTACATCCTTTTCTACGGATATTTCATTTTTTTTTTTTTAGCTTTCTATCATTTGTGAAATAATTTGCTCAAACAAGATTCCTGAAAGCTTTGCAAATAAAATGCTTTTTTTTTATAATTATATTTGAGAGAGAGCGAGCGAGAGAGCATATGTGTGCACAAGCAGGGAAGAGGGGCAGAGACAGAGAGAAGGAGAGACTCTCAAACAGGCTCACGCTGAACGTGGAGCCTCAGACAGGGCTGAATCCCGCGACCCTGGGATCATGACCTGAGCTGAAATCAGAGTCAGACATTCAACTGACTGAGCCCCTCAGGCTCCTCAAGTGGTTTCAAAATGCATTTTATTATAGAAGTAGTATCTTATTATGCCTTAAAATGGGTTTTAAGGCCTATTTATCAAGAGCTGACCTGAGATCTGAAGAATGTCTTTTGATGTCCCATGATTTTTATTCGTGACAATTGTGTGAAATCTGAATTCATTTGAATTTCTTTGCGTAGAGAAATGGAAATGTAGTCCTCGACCTGCACACATCTTCACATAGAGGGTAGACACGTTAGCATCCCAAACAGTACCCTTAAGGGTAAGGGCTTCCTTCTTAAATAAAACAGAACTGATTTTTTTTTTTAGTTTATTTACCTTTGGGGGGAGAGAGAAAGTGCTTTTGGGTGCATGTAAGCAGGGGAGGGACAGAGAGAGAATCCCAAGCAGGCTCAGCACTGTCAGCGCAGAGCCTGACCCAGGGCTCAATCCCACGAACTGTGAGATCGTGAGCTGAGCCGAAATCAAGAGTCAGACGCTCAACCCACTGAGCCAACCAAGCACCCCGATGAATCTGAGGTTTTTAAAATTAGGGGCGCCTGGGTGGCTCAGTTGGTTAAGTGTCCGACTTCAGCTCAGGTCATGATCTTGTGGTTTGTGAGTTTGAGCCCCACGTCGGGCTCTGTGCTGACAGTGCTGAGCCTGCTTGGGATTCTCTCTCTCTCTCTCTCTCTCTCTCTCAAATAAACAAGGGGCTCCTGGGTGGCACCGTCGGTTGGGCATCTCGCTTTGGTTCAGGTCATGATCTTACAGCTTGTGAGTATGAGCTGTGCATCGGGCTCTGTGCTGACAGCCTGTTTTTGATTCTGTGTCTCCCTCTCTCTGTCCCTTCCCCACTCACACACTCTCTCTCTCAAAAACGAATAAAAGTTAAAAAATATTTTTGAAAAATCCATCCTTGTTTTGGAAAATCGTTTTTTTAATGTTACTTTTTTATTCATTTTTGAGAGAGAGAGAGAGAGAGAGTGAGCTTGCACGTGTGAGCAGGAGAGGGGCAGAGAGAGAAAGAGAGACAGAGAGAGAGAGAACCCCAAGCAGGCTCCACACCCAGCACAGAACCCGACACAGGGCTCCACCTCACAACTGTGAGATCATGACCTGGGCTGAAGTCAAGAGTTGGACACTTAACCAACTGAGTCACCCACACTCTCCTAAGTGTAATTTGTTTTTCACATGTGACAGGTTTATATTTTAAACTGGTTGATAAACATTTTCAGGTTTTTTCAGTTTTAATTCAGACCGTCATCAGTATCGATAGCTATGACCCACCTTCACAAAAGCCCTTTGGGGCTCTCTGTTAAGACAAGTCTGAGAGCAGCTGGTCTAAAATACAGAACTTTGGGGGCGCCTGGGTGGCTCAGTCGGTTAAGCATCTGTCTTCAGCTCAGGTCATGATCTCACGGTTTGTGGGTTCGAGCCCCACATCGGGTTCTGTGCTGACAGCTCAGAGCCTGGAGCCTGTTTCAGATTCTGCGTCTCCCTCTCTCTCCGACCCTCCCCTGCTCATGCTGTCTCTCTCTCTCAGAAATAAATAAAACATTAAAAAAAAAATACAGAACTTTGTAAGCCTCCAATATCGCACTAACGCACTAAAATGTTTTCAGTAAAACCATGTTACAAACTGTACGTACGTATCTTCGTGGGTCGTATGTGTTTATATAGGAGGAGAAGGAGAGGGGTAGGTAGGTAGGTAGTCAGAGAGCTGCTTTCTCTTTTTATTTTTTATTTTTTGGCAACACGAGACCTGAGATCACCAGGGACAGTGTTTCTCCTTCCACAGCTTCCAAGAAGTGAAGGACTACATCCAGGCCTACCTGACCCTGTTGGAGAAGAAAGCCTTCCTGACAGAAGATAAAACCGAGCTCTACATTCTCTTCAGCACCTGCCTGGAGGTGAGTGAGCCGTCGGCCCCCCGACTCCTGCACACGAGCACGGTCGTGCGGTTTGTTCGACGGAAAAGCGTCTAACAAGTTACAGAGCATGATTTCAGTCGGTGAAACTGTCAGGTGCTCCGTTCCACGTGCAGAAAAGGGTCCAGAAACATTGCCTCTGCCCCGGCGGCGGGTGTTCTCTGGTGCTCGGGCCCGGGCGCGAGGCAGCCACGCGTGACCGTGTCCGTCTGCGGGAGGCGAGGCTGTGATTGCTCCTCATTTTGCTTCAATCCTTTTTTTTGCTACTTGGAAAAATTTGACGATGCACGTGAGAATATTAGATTATATGGGGCGCCTTGGGGGCTCAGGTGGCTAAGCCGGCAACTTCGGCTCAGGTCGTGATCTCACGGTTCGTGGTTTCTCTCCCCGCATCGGGCTCTGTGCTGACAGCTTGGAGCCTGGAGCTGCTTCGGATTCTGTGTCTCCCTCTCTCTCTGCCCCTCCCCTGTTCATACTCTGTCTGTTTATCTCAAAAATAAATAAACATTAAAAAAAATCCTTTTTTTGGGGCGCCTGGGGGGCTCAGGTGGCTAAGCCGGCAACTTCAGCCCAGGTCATGATCTCACGGTTCGTGGGTTCGAGCCCCGCGTCAGGCTCTGTGCTGACAGCTCGGAGCCTGGAGCCTGTTTCAGATTCTGTGTCTCCCTCTCTCTCTGACCCTCCCCTGCTCATACTGTCTCTCTTTCTCTCTCTCAGAAATAAATAAAACATTAAAAATATTAAAAAAAAAAATTTTTTTTAAATCCTTTTTTTTTTTTTTCTGGTTCTCTGTTCCCTAGGATTCCCTCTACGAGAAGTTTAGCGCCCTCTCTGCCACTGAGGGACAGAAGCACCTGAGAGAGGAAGGGGTCTTCCTGGAGACCTACTCAGTGCGGCACGGCCCCGAGCCCGTCACGGAGGCCTCGGTGGAGTACCTGCAGGAGATGGCCAGGATCCGCCTCTGTCTCGACAGGGCATCTGACCTCCTCTCCGGGCTCCAGGAGGGCTCAGGCAGGTCTTACGCGCACCCCTGTCCACCCCAGGCTCAGGGACTGGCTCTGTAGAAATACGGGAAGCCGGTTCTCAGAGCCATCCTGGTCTGCACAATGTCGCCTTTCTTCTGGATCGGTGTCATACGGGAGCTGCAGGGGCCCGTGCCTTCCACGCCCGGCTCCGAGTCCTGGGCGGGCGGGCGAGTGGCGAGGGTGCCGGCCGCCGGGCCCTGACCCCTGGCTCTCGCGCTCTGCAGAGGTGGCCGAGGACAAGCAGCGTTACCTCCGGCAGGTAGAGCGCTTCTGCAGGCAGGTGAGAAACGACTGGTACCGGGTGTACCTGGTGCGGAAGCTCACCAGCCTGCGGGGCATGGAGTTCGTGCAGCGCCTCTCCAGACCCGGCCACCCGGCGCGCTGGCTGTTCCCCCAGGCGGTCCTGGAGCAGCAGGTGAGCGGTGTTCGCCCCCCCCATCCCCCCGCATGGCTGGCCTGGTCCCCGGTGCCTCCGCGGCCCCCCCCAACGGTGTCCCCCCCCCGTGCGGCTGGCCTGGTCCCCGGTGCCTCCGCGGCCCCCCCCCGACGGTGTCCCCCCCCGTGCGGCTGGCCTGGCTCCCGGTGCCTCCGCGGCCCCCCATGACGGTGTCCCCCCCCCGCGCGGCTGGCCTGGTCCCCGGTGCCTCCGCGGCCCCCCCGACGGTGTCCCCCTCCCCCCATGGCTGGCCTGGTCCCCGGTGCCTCCGCGGCCCCACCCCACCTGGGGTGGCGCTGAGGCCACCTGCCTTGGGGGACAGGTGGGCACGTGCTCTTCTGGTTTGTCACCTCCCTGCAAAAAAAGCTTATTTCGGCCTTGCCTTGGGTCCGGTGTGATGTGGGCAAAGCAGAAGAACGAAGGTGTGGCTTTTGCTTTTGGCAAATGAACAGTAGAAGCCCTTCCTCTCCTGCGCGGGCGGGGTCGGAAGTGCGAGACGGAGGGTAAAAGACCTGTAGCCGTTCTGGCTCCGGGGCCCCTCTGTGGCCCGTCCCTGGGAGCCTGGAGCGGACCTCCTCGCAGCCACCATGGTCTCTGCTCTCAGCGGGGACAGAACACAGCGACAGGGTCAGTGCCGTCTCCTCCCCCCCATCTCCCACCCACTCCCCGCTCCACTGAACGGGGAGGCGGAGCCACAGCAGGGACCGTCCTGCCTGGGGCCGCACCTCTAAGGGTCCCCCTGGGCCCTTTACCTGTCGGGGCGGTTCTTTGCTAACCGTGTCCCCACGTCCCCCCGGCAATGATCCCGTGTCCCTGGCCTCGCAGGAGGATCACCCAAGCCAGATGGACCGGTACCTGGTGCACGGTGACAGATACAAGTCCCTTCGTGACGCAGTGGGCAAAGCCGTCCTCGAGTGCAAGCCCCTGGCTATCGTGGCTGCTCTGAAGGTAGGACACCCCCCCCCCCGCGTCCCTCGGTACCAAGCGGCGCCCCAGAGCCGCGTCGTGTGTCCACGGCCTCCGCCCGCGCGGCAGAAACACGAGGACGTTAGCAACTGAGTCAGGGGACAGATTTGCTCGACCTCGCTGCCCGCCCGGTCGGGGCCGTCAGCAGCCCCACGGGACGGCGCACATCCCTTACTTCCCGGGAGACGCTGCTCGAGCCTCACTCCCTCCGAGGTCACCCTGAGGAGAGGCGCGGGCGGCCCCGGGGGCTTTCCCACCTGTGCACGTTCAGCGTGGACGCGGGCGCTCGTTTCCATAACGAGGGAGGGAGTTTAGAGTCTCCCCTTGGAGCGGTTCTGGTCTTGCTGCCTCTCGGAGGCCCCGTTTGCCCTGGCGCTGGCCGTAGAGCGGGGAAGTAGGTGCGCGGCCTCTCCCTGCCGGGGAGGAGTTTCCGGGAACGGCCGAGCGGTCGGAAAGAGAAGAGCCGGGGCTTTCTGTTGCCTGGGTGCTGAGCGATCTGGAAACCTCGCATTGAGCCGCTGGCGGGGCATCTGTGAGCCGTGCGGCCCTGGGGTGCCAGGTTCCTCCAGGTCCCTCGCCTCCGCCTGGTTCAAGGCCGGAGTCAGCAGGACTCAGGCCCTCAGACGGCGTGTGTAACGAGGCCTCACTGCCGTCTTTGCCTCCTCAGGTCTGCAGGGACCCCGGCCCTCAGCAGGCTGCCCACTTCCTGTTAGCGCTTTTCAGAGAGGTCACCACTTTGTACAGACTCCCCGATGTGAACCTCCATCCTAAGCCAGAGGTGAGTGTCCGCCTCCAGACAGTGCTCACAGTCTCCATGTCCACAGGGACCTTCTTGAATAGAAGTAAAAACCACAGGGGCCACAGCGGCGGCTGGGGGGCTCAGTCGGTTAAGCGTCCGACTTCGGCTCAGGTCACGATCTCGCGGTTTGTGGGTTTGAGCCCCGCGTCGGGCTCTGTGCTGACAGCTTGGAGCCTGGAGCTGCTTCAGATTCTGTGTCTCCCTCTCTCTCTGCTCTCCCTGCTCGTGCTCTGTCTCTCAAAAATAAATAAACATTAGGGAAAAAAAAGTCAAGAATGTGAGATACTGTTTACAAAGTACATCAGATTGAGCACCCAGGCATTTACAGGTGGAAATTCTCTCATCTGGGGAACCTCCCTCACCCGGTGACAATTCAGCCATATTTTCCTTCATACTTGATATGTTTCTGGATCAAAATGTGTGACTAACTTAAGAGCAAATGTTTGGCTTCACCCCATCACCTTTGACGTATTTCTCAACATGTTCTGCCGCCAGCAATGTGAGGCTCTCAACAAGGTCATCGAGGAGAGTGAGGTCCTTTCTCAGTGGGACATCAGACAGTTTGCAACGTCCCTCGTGACCGATACTCTGCCCGTGCTGAGCACGGGTGTGATGGACAGCAGCCTCGAAGGCACCGTGGCAGAGATGGCCGTCCACATGGCCGTCACCCTCCTGTGCGGACACGGCGAAGTCTTGGAACCCCTGAAGAATCTGGCCTTCGCCCCGGCCAGCATGGCGGTACGGCTGGGCCCTGGGTGTCTGTCCCCACGGACACCAAGCCTGTCCCTGGGTCCCCGCAGAAACCATGCTTGTCCTACGATCTCTCTGCTTCTGTCCCACCTGACGCCAAGGCCACCGTGATGGCGGACACCTTGCCCTGTGTCGTTGCACGGGGAGCCCTTGTTCTGTGTTCCCCGGTGGAGGACGCTGAGGCGGAGAAGAGGCGGGGTCCAGGGCCCACTTCCTGGCTCCCAGCGGTGGCAGCCGGCCCACACGCTCTCTTTCCTGAAGCTTCTCTGCTTTCTTGGCTTTTCAGAATGCTTTTCTTCCAACGATGCCCGAAGACTTGCTGGCTCAGGCGCAGACATGGAAGGGTCTGGAAAGGCTGCAGTGGTACCGTAAGTGTCAGTTTCTGCAATGTGACCCGGGGCCCACGCGCTCCGTGCCTGGGGATCCCAAACGCCTGGCCTGTTCGGCCTTGGTGACTTCCCAGAACACGGCACCTACTGACTGTGCGTGCAGCACATCAGCCCTTTCCGGGGCCCCTGGGTGAGGGTACGCCTGTCACCCACGTCCTCTCTCTGGGACGTGAGCCTCGCCGGAGGCTCGGACAAGGGCCAGCTCGTCCTACAGCCAAGGCTTTGACCCAGAGAGAGTTCTTTTTGAAATCTAGAACTGGGAACCCAAACAAGGTCACCCATACTTTAGGTACACTTTGTTGCTGCCTGAGTAAATCATTGTTTTACTTTTATTTATGTATTTATGTTTGAGAAAGAGAGAGAGAGCTAGGGAGGAGCAGAGGGAGAGAGAGAGAATCTTTTTTTAAGTTTATTTATTTTGAGAGAGTGAGCACAAATGGGGGAGGGGCAGAGAGAGAGAGAGAGAGAGAGAGAGAGAGCACACATCTCAGGCAGGCTCCACACTGTCAGCACAGAGCCCAACTCAGGTCTCAAACCCACGAACCATGAAATGACCTGAGCTAAAATCCAGAGTCGGACACTCAGCCGACTGAGCCCCCCAGGAGCCTCTAGTTATTGCTCTAAACAAAGCCAGGACTTTCCCAGCTCCCTCATTTTTTTTAGGTTTATGTATTTATTTTTAGTAATCTCCCAACGTGGGGCTCGAACCCACGATCTCGATACCAAGAGTCCCACACTCTTCCAACTGAGCCAGTCAGACACCCTGAGTAAAGAATCCTTTTAAACCCGCTTTAAAACTTGTTATAAAACACACTCCTTAAAAACAAAACAAAAAAAATTTAAAGAGGAAGGAAGGGTGTAAAATGGGGCCGCCCTGTCTCCCAAAGTAGCCCTGGCACGAGCCTGTGAAAGGGGTTTCTCTCTGGTGGTTGGATCAGGCTCACTTTCACTCTCACTGACGTGCTCAGCACGGGACTGTGCATCCTGCTTCGGCTGGACGGGGAGGGGGGCGCTGGCTTCCTCTCTTGCCTTGGGGCAGGGGTGAAACCCAACAGCCAACGTGTGCCCTGTTCTTCCAACAGTGTGCCCCAACGGTCACCCGTGCTCGGTGGGAGAGGTGAGTCGTGGTGTCGGGGGCAGTGGGGGCACTAGGCGGAGGTGCCTGGGGGCCTTGACCTCAGGAGAACGTAGACTCTTCTGCAAGCTGTGCTCCAACTTGACCTCCTGGTGGCACCGTGGGCCTCCCCTCACCACCCTGTATCGGGGGCCGTGCTCCAGGGCCGAGCGGCGTTCCGGTGGCTTCGACTTACCAGGCATCCCTCGCACCCGTGTCCCCAGCGTGACAACGAAAAATGTCTCCAGACGTTGCCTGAGTCCCTCTGGGAGGCAAACTGCTGCCAGCCGGCCTTCCCAGCCGTGCCGCACTATGTGACCTGTGCCTTTCTGTAATGGCACGGTGTCGACTGGCCAGAGAGGAGACGTGGTGTGGACGCCAAGGGACAGGAAGAAGACAGTCAGGATTATAAGCCCCGGGGGGTGAGGGCTGTGTGCGCCCCGTCTCTGCCTCCCGTGGCAGCCGGCCGTTGAGTTGAACAAAGGAGATTGGAAGGAAAACGCCTTCTTCCCGAGACCGCTCTCACCTCCGACGCCTGCGGTCTGGGGCTTGAGGCACGGCGTCCAGGAGCCCACAGTCCGATCTGGGAAAAAAACGAGGGTTTGGAAGGAGTAGACCACATGGTTATTTCCAAACAGAGTTTAGGAAATGGGTTTGGAGGCCGGGGTGGTGTTCCCAGAGCTGGATGAGATGGTCGGGGCCGCGGAGGAGCGTGAGCACGTGTGTGTCTGGCTCACAGAGCCGCGGATTCCTGGCACACGCCCTGTCCCAGAGAGTGGGGGCCCCGCCTGGGCGAGCCGTCTAAGCTCAGCCCTCGGCCTCCCGCGCGGAGTGGGCTCTCGTGTGTGCCGTGGCGTGGGCTCCTGCCACGGAGTCCACGACTGAGCGTGGCCCCGTCTGTGTGTCCCCTAGTGCGGCCAGCCGATGGAACAGAGCCACTGTGTGGACTGTGGGGCTTTAATTGGCGGGATTAACCACAAGCCTGAGGCCGGGTTTCTCATCGTCAAGTAAGTAGGACCGCGTTTCCTTTCTAAGTGATTGAACTCTGGGTTTTGGAGCTGTTTCTATCCCAGTGGGTAAATTAATACTAAATACAGAATTAGTCACTGTTGTGCATTTGGGCCTGTGTCCTGTTGGGTCTCAATGCCAAGGTCCCTGTGGTCATGGAAGATGTGTCTGATCTGTCGTTGGCTGACTGGTTTCTCTCTCTTTTTTTTTTAAATGTTTCTTTATTTTTGAGAGAGAGAGAGAGGGAGAGAGCGAGCATGAGGGAGGGAGGGGCAGAGAGACAAGAAGACACAGAATCCCAAGCAGGCTCCAGGCTCCGAGCTGTCAGCACAGAGCCCAACCCGGGGCTCAAACTCACCAACCATGAGGTCATGACCTGAGCCAAAGTCGGACGCTTAACCGACTGAGCCACCCAGGCGCCCCTGACTGGCTTGTTCTATGTAAAGCAAAACCACACATTAATACACAGTCGTGTCAATACGTGTTATTCAGACATCTTCTGTTCAGGCCTGAGGCGTGCCCCCTATAGAAATACGCTTGCCGTACACAAGTGACCTGATTCGGAGGGACGTTTAAGTCTATGAAGCCACAACGTGGGCATTTTTTTTCTATCTGAGCCCACGCCATGTCACCTGGAGACTCTCAGCTGCCACCACGGTTTGCGGGATGTGAAGGAGACAGTCCATCTTATCAAACAGTCCCACATCCACACGCAAGGCTGGTGTCCTGACCCCAGCCTTCTCTCGAGAGGAGCGTGGTTCTCCGTGCTCCCGCAGAGGGCAGCTGGGGCCTTTCTGTGGTCATCACATGTCACGAGTCTGCTGCCTTTACAATTTAAAATATCCTCAGGGCACCTGTGGGTCTTAGTCAGTTAAATGTACAGCTCAGGTCATGATCTCACGGTTCTTGAGTTCAAGCCCCGCGTTGGGCTCTGTGCTGACAGCTCGGCGCCTGGAGCTGCTTCAGATTCTGTGTCTTCCTCTCTCTCTGCCCCTCCCCTGCTCACACTCTGTGTGTGTCTCTCTCTCTCAAAAAAATAAACATTAAAAAAATTTTTTTGAAATATCCTAGCCTGTTATCTGCACAAATGGGCAGGACACCCCAGGATCCCCAGTCTCTGATACTGTGCCTACCGCTTGGGTGCGGTAGGAAATTCTTTGCCAAGCCTTCCGTCCCCATTTTTGATTTGGGGAAAACGAGATCGGGGTGTGCATGTCCCCGATGTCGATGTCACCTGTCCCAGCTGAGGCTATCCTTGGCTTGCCTGCCCCTCCTACCCCCCCATGATGATTTCAGCAGAAGCAGCAGGTACAGACCCCTGTGAGGGCCCCTCAGGCCAGCCCCCTTGCACTGCGAATGCCGCGGGCTGCCTGTCAGCCGGGAAGGTGAGGCTGGAAGGGAGACCCCGAGGCGAGAGCTCTGTGCTTACGAGCGTGAGAAGCGCCATGGCACCGTGTTGTTTGAAACGGCAAACCTCGTCTCCATGTCCCCGGAGTGTGAGATGCGCCCCCAGGGCCAAGGAGAGAGGACCGTCTACAGCTGCCGCCCTGTCTTCTCTCGTCCTCTCCAGAAACAGCACGGACAGAACGCAGACTGGCCACGTACTGGGCGCCCCGCTGTCCAGTGGCGAGGCAGTGGCGTCCGACCGACAGCTGGCCCCCGTGGTCTTCCTGCTCATGCGGCTGCTCACCCACGTGGCCATGCTCCTGGGGGCGGCCCGGAGTCCTGAGGTACGGCCGCTGCCACCACGCCACGCGTTCGGTCCGTAATTTGTAACGATCGTGGGTCGTTTTGTCTGGAGAGTGCTGGCCCCCTCCTGTGGCTCAGGAGTACGTCATTGTTGCCACACCCACAAAGGAGCGTAAGATTCACACGCCCTCAGTTCCCCACTGGCGGTGTGGGGGGCTGCTCGTCAGGTCACGTAAAATCCATTTTGTTTGTTTTTAATTTTTTAATTGTTTTATGATTTTATTTTTTTAATGTTTAGTTTTGAGAGAGAGACAGAGACAGAGCGTAAGCAGGGGAGGGGCAGAGAGAGAGGGAGACACAGAATCTGAAGCAGCTCCAGGCTCCGAGCTGTCAGCACAGAGCCTGACGCGGGGCTCGAACTCATAAGCCGTGAGATCATGCCCTGAGCCGAAGCCGGACGCTCAAGTGATTGAGCCCCCAGGCGCCCTTATAAAATAAGTTCTCTTATAAACGTTTTGAACAAACACCCCACGTCTCAGTGTGCCTGGAAGCGGAGACACAACTCCATCGTGACGTTACCGTGTCTTCCCTGCAGCTCTGGGCAGGATCCACCGCGAAGGCCAAACATTGGGTCTCTGAGAACTTATTTACTTACTTAATTTAGGTCTACACGCAGCGTAGCTTTAGTGAGCGGGGGATGAGGCCGTTCCCACGTCTTCCCCACATACACGTACAGACACACACCCCAGTGGATGCAGATGCCACTCGGAAGACGTGTTACACACCACGTGGCTTCGATGAGCTGAGGGCGGGGCCGTGCGGACTCTGTGTCACGACGACAGAGGGTCGCTTCTGCCGCGTCTGTGTGCACGAGGCTTCCACCACTCCCCACGCCCTCTGACCTGGCGCTGGCTGTCCTTGCCGGGCGTGTGCGGGTGCAGACGAGAGCTCGTGTCCCTCGCAGGCCCTGAGGAGCATCATCAAGCCTCCGGTGAGGGACCCCCGCACGTTTCTGCAGCAGCACGTCCAGCGGGACCTGGAGCAGCTGATGAAGACTCTGGGAAGGAGCGCCGACGAGGCCGTCACCGCCGTGCACCTGGTCCTGTGCAGCTTCCTGGGGAGGCAGCGCCACCTCTCGGGCCACAGTGAGCACTGGGGGCGGGGGGGAGGGGTCACTCCTCACGACGCTGGACACGGATAACAGCAAGCAGGGAGGGGTGTGTGGAAAGGCGGACGGAAGGGCGGCTCTTGTCTTTGCGTTTTCCCTGCTGGGTCAAGAGGTGCACACAGAGGTGTGACGTGCGTGCGCAGGGGGAGGCCGTGGGGCACCCAGGACGTGGTGTGAGAGTCATCACCATCCAGGGACCAGCGTCCGGTCATTTGTTGGGACTTGTCCGCCGTGGCCCCCGGCCTGTTCGGCCCCGCCCGTGTGCCCGTGTCCACGTGTCCATAGCTGGCTCCGTGGGCAAGGGGGCTACAAACCACCGTGGCCACTGAGCTGATGTCCCCACTTCAGAAACGGACATGTGTAGGGGCGCCTGGGTGGCTTAGTCGGTTAAGCATCCGACTTTCGCTTAGGTCATGATCTCGCGGTTCGTGGGTTCGAGCCCCGCGTCGGGCTCTGTGCTGTCAGCCAGCTCAGAGCCTGGAGCCTGTTTCAGAGTCTGTATCTCCCTCTCTCTCTGACCGTCCTCTGCTCATCCTGTCTCTCTCTCTCTCTCTCCCCTAGAAATAAATAAAAATAAAAATAAAAAAATCTTAAAAAAAAAAAAAACAGAAACGGACATGTGTGGAAAGGGGAGGTCTGCGAGGTAACTTAGTAAAGCGGCTGTTTCTGAGTGGTGGCCTTGAGAGTGACTTTATCTTCTTTCTCTTTGTGTCTTCATAACGATCCCGAGTCACTGGGAGCAGCAGGGCCTGTTTTTAAGGGCGCAGGTTAATTTAGGAGGAAGTGCCCTGCCCCCCGCCGTGCCCCTCGGAAAGGGAGCGTGACTTTGGTCTCACCTTCAGTCCGTGTGTACGTAGCTGCTGTGCTTCCTTCTCCTTGGGTAACACACTCGTGTTTCCTTTTAGGGGTTTTCCGTTTCGATGCAACGCTGTCCTCCAGGGAATACAGAAACAGCTGGGAGAAGGCCATGGAAGTGCTCCTCCTTCCTGAGCTGGAGGTACGCGGCCCTGGAGGCCGGCGGGGAGCCCGCGGGGGCCTGTCCTGGGCCTGTCCCGGGCACCCGGGCCGCCGTCCCTCATGCCAGGGCTGGGGGGGGGGGTGCTGGCGGAGCCCCAGGCCCGGTGCGGACCGCCCGGCCCCGCCACCGTCCCGCTGCGCCCCTGCCCCCAGCCCGGAGGCTCAGCCGGCGCTTGAGGACTTACTGTGAGTCAAGGAAATGCAGGTGGCTTCCTCCCGCTACTGTTTATATTGAGAGTAATGCGTGGACAAATTCCCGCATAGATGCCCAGCAGAAATGCACAGATCGTTGTGGATTCGCCTCTCCCCCGTCAGATGCTGGAACGGTGCTGGGAGTAAATAAACCCAGCAGGAACTAAGAGTCACTACGTAAAAGAATGGGAATACAGCCCAGGCCTCTGGGCCTCATATTTGGGGAGACACGAGCCCACAAACAAGGAACCTGGAAATCGTCACCAAAGAGAACACGTGCTAAACCGAGGGGGGCAGGCTCCCTGCCCCGCCCGCTGGGGAGGCCGCCGTGTGCGGTCCGTGTGGGCGGCCGCACCTCCTCACCCGTGCCGCTCTCTCCCCCAGCACCAGCATCTGGAGAAGGCCTTGCTGACGGTCACTAAGCAGATCAACCAAGACGAGCGGATCAGCTCCAATGCCGTGGCCAAGGTCGTGTACGGCGACCCGGGGGCCTTCCTGCCCCACCTGCCCCGGAAGAGCGTGCTCCACTGCTCTAAGGTGTGGGCTTGCAGGACGAGGGTCACCGTGGAGCACCTGCGGCACGTCGTGGAGCAGAATCCTGCCAGAGAGACCGTGCCCGTCCTGCACAGGTTCCTGCAGAAGGTGCGGCCTCCCTGGCGTCTCCCCTGCAGACTCGAAGGCCCGGCTTTTACTTGGTCACGTGGGGCGTCGGACCAACTACCTCAGGGCTCTGCTTTTTTTTTTTCTTTTATTTTTTGTGTTTATTTTTGAGAGAGAGAGAGAGAGACAGAGCGTGAGCAGGGGAGGGTCAGAGAGGGAGACACAGAATCTGAAGCAGCTCCAGGCTCTGAGCTGTCAGCACGGAGCCCGACGCGGGGCTCGAACCCACAGACTGTGAGATGACGAGCTGAAGTCGGATGCATAAGCGACGGAGTCCCCGGGCGCCCCAGTGCTCTGCTCTTTTGATGGACCGTCGGTGGCAGGGGCGCCCGGGGGCAGAGCAGGGTCCTCATTCCCATCAGGCTGGGAGGCACTTTGAAGCATCCCCTCACAGAGGAAATATGCTGGTCCAAGTTGGCAGGAATCAGTAAAGAACGTGAGGGCCCGGACGGTGCCCCCCAGTCACTCAGCCAGAAAGAGCAGAATTCAGACCGACCCGGGCGGTGCCCTTTCCCCCGTGGCCCCCGTGCTGGGAGCACGTGGCCACCAGTGAGCGTCTGTTGAAAGAAAAAGCTTCCGTTGGGAACGTGTATCCAGAATCAGACAGACAAGGCCTTAGAAGGAAGAAGGGGCTGGGGGAGGGGGAGGGAGCAGTGAAACGTCTCTCGGGTCGGTGAGCCCGGAAATGCAGGTGAAATTTCCCTTCCGCGGTAACGGCTGTCTCCCGTCCCCGTGCGGGCCAGTGTTGGCGTCCGCACAAGTGCGACGGCTCAGAAGTGTCTGTCGGTCAGTGGGGGGGCGGGAGCCCACTGGGGAGGCTCTCCTGTGGCCCGGACGACACACAGGAGCGACGCCAGGCGCCAGGCCTGCGTCCCCAGCCTCTGCTCCCGCTGAGACCCCACACCCAGCCCGACGCAGGGGCCCGGGAGGCCGATTTCTCTGCCGAGGTTTTGGCAAACACGCGTGACGTGTCGGCCCCACAGGCCAGCCCCGCAGTCCGTTTCCCCGGGAACGGGGGGCGGGGGGCTAACCCACGGCCCGGCGGTCTTCCGGCTGCAGGAGGCGGAGCTGAGGCTGCTGAAATGCCTGCCTGAGATCCTGGCCCTGCAGAGGGATCTGGTGAAGCGGTTCCAGAATGTTTCGGAAGCTGACTACCAGTCCATCAGAGCTTTCATTAACAGTCACCAGGAAGGTACGGCTCCGCTCGAGTAGGCGCCGCTGTGTCGGGGGCGGGGGGGTCAAAGCACCGCAGCCGCCCGGGGCTCGGGGCCTCTGTCCCCTCAGCCTTCAGCGCGAAGCGACGGGTGCCGCGAATCCCAAAAGCTCAAAAGAGGCTCTGCTGTGGCTGAAACCTGGCGTCGGCGCTCGCGGCCGCTGGCAAGCCCGGGGGCGCGAAGCCGGGCCCTTCCCGAGGAGCCTGTGATGACCCTGGTCGGACCCGACTGGGTAGCGTTTTCACGGGGCCCTTAGAAAAGTGTTTTGTCGGACAGATGGGTTGAAGCAGCTACTCCGCAAGAGAATCCGTGTCTTTCTGTCGACGTGGAACAAGCTGAGGGCGTCGCTGCAGACCAGGGGTAGGTGCCACGCTCCCCGCCGTCCGCCTGACCCCGGTCCCCGAGAGTCTGGGCGGGGGTGTGGGGAGCAAGTGAAGTAACAGACCAGGAGAAAATAATCTCGGGTCTGTCGACGTGGCCTCGGGGAAGGAGCCCAGGTTGTTTGAAACCAGCAGGCGCGGGAGGGGGAGGCAGAGCCTGCGCAGCGTCCTGGCCCCAACTGTGCGGGCAGCACCTGCCACCCTGGGCAGCGGCCTGGAATGGGGGGGGGGGCGGCCTCTCTGCTGAAAGCGTGCTGTCCTCGCAAGGTGAGATCAAGCTGCCCGACGAATACTGCAGCGCCGACTTGGACGAGGACACGGACTTCGAGGTCGTTCTGCCGCGGCGCCGGGGCCGGGGCCTCTGTGCCACCGCCTTAGTCAGCTACTTGATCAGGCTGCACAACGAGATGGTCTACGCGCTGGAAGAGTTCTCCGGCGAAAACAAGGGGTGAGCACGCAGCCGCAGGGGCTCCCGCTCGTCTCCGAGGTGGTGCCCGCGGGGTCGCGGGGGCGTCCCTGCCTCGGCCGGTGCACAGGCCCGCGCAGCACGCCCGCCCGCCGGCTCCGGGCAGGGCGGCGTGTGCGTGGCGGGTCCCTGAGCGCCGCGTCTGTGTCCCTCAGCTACACGGTCGATGCCTCCGAGGTCACGGACCTGCACGTCATCAGCTACGAGGTGGAGCGGGACCTGGTGCCCCTGATCCTCTCCAACTGCCAGTACAGGGTGGAGCAGGGCCGGGAGGCGCTGCAGGAGTTCGACCTGCAGAAGATCCAGCGCCAGGTCGCCGGCCGCTTCCTCCAGGGCAAACCCAGAGTCACCCTCAAGGTGCGGCTGCCCCCGGGGGTTTGTCGGTCCACACATCTGCTTTGTGAAACTTGGCCTTGGGTCCCAGCTGTTTGCGAGCGAGACAGGCGCAGGGGTGACCGTCCAGCCACGTGGTCCCCGCAGAGGCCGGGACCTGGCTCCTGTCGGTACCTCGGGCCCGAGGGCTCTCCTGAGCCACTGCCGCGCCTCCGGCCCCCGGGCGTCTTCAGGTCCCCGCGAGCCCCTTGGCTTTCTCTGTGTCGTTAATGGCCTTGCCTCGGCCCCCGACAGCCCCCGGCGGCCACGCTCCTTCACCCTCCACACCCAGCCTGTCACCCGATAGCACGGTGCCCGTATGACTGCCACGGGCCCCCTGCTCCCTGCCTCCCGCGTCTTCGGGCCACGTTCCCCAGCCAGGTCTGGCCCCCGCTGCTTCCCGGGGACGGCCCCGACCCCAGCGGGGTCACAGCCCATCTCCAGCCGGGTGGGCCCTGGGACCTTGCACACGAGATGCCGGCTCTCCCTGAACACACTGCACCTCCACATCTCTGTCCTTTCGCCTGCGCTGTTCTTGTCCCTCCGGGTCCAGTCGGGGACACTGTAGTTGTGGGGGGGAGGTGCTCCTCACTGCCCGCAGCTAAGCCCTGGCCTGTTGGCACCCGGGGCTGTTTTAACTCGCTACGCTGTCCCGTGGCCGCCTTGTCCGCGTCCCTGCCCCGTCGTGGCTGGGTGAGCACAGGAGGGAGGTCCCCCCGTACCTGCTCCCCCAGCGGCCGGCAAGCCTGCAGCCATCGGCGCGACGCCCTCTGCTTGGCCGGCGAGGCGAGGCCGGCTCCCTTGCTGCATTAGTGTTTCTGTAGACCGTGGGCCAGACCCGCAGCTGCACACGTGCCCGGTGACGCGCTAAGTTGCACAGTCCTGCCGTCAGGCCACCGCTCGGGAATAGAGTCGTCGTCAGACGGAAACCTGCTCAGTGGCCTCTGTCTCCAAAGGCTGTTTTCCTTGTCAATGCAGGGACTCCCCACCCTGGTGTACAGGCGCGACTGGAACTACGAGCACCTGTTTGCGGACATCAAGAACAAAATGCCACAGGTGATGACGACACCTTCTCCCCCTCGCACGGCGCTTTCACGATGGCGGTGCCTTCCTCCCGGGAGGACCACTCAGCCTTGCTGGGAGCGGCGCCAGGTTTCCGTGGCCTCCCCAGGTCCCCTGAGCCACTGCTCTTCCCAGAAGGCCCGCAGGACAGCAGAGCAGCAACGGTTCTCTTGTTCAAACCTGGGGGTGTTAGTTTCTTAGTCATGATGTCAGGACGATGCGTGCCGTTGCAGAAGGTCCAGGGAACTTACTTATTCCCGCTCTTCAGACTTGCGTGTGTGGGCGTGGGCGCGGCCGTATGACTAGCCTCTCCCAGTTGCTTTGAGGACTCGGTGACGTCCCGTGGATTTCTGTAAAGTGCCTGGGCCACTGCTACCGCTTAGGCATCACTAAGCGTTAAGTGTCATTGTTAGAGAGGCCGTCCCGCCCCATGGCCTTGGCAGTGAAGTAAGCGCTCTTGCGCTTGTGCTGTGAGGCACAAGAAGGCCCCCCAGCCATGGACCCCTGTCCTGCCTCTGATTTCCTAGAAACCCCTCGCCAGCGCAGCCATCGGTGCCATCTGTGGACAGCTGCAGTCCTACAGCGATGCGTGTGAGGCCCTGTCGCTCATAGAGATCACCTTGGGGTTCCTGAGCACGGCTGGCGGAAACCCCAACATGCCCTTGAACGTGTACGTCCAGGACATGCTGCGCATGGGCGACCAGACAGCGCTGGTTCTGAAGGTGGGTCTTGGTCCGAGCTCTCCTGCGGGCTCACCCACTCTGCCGTCCCCACTGCCTGCCAGGATTAGCGTCAGCAGGGAGTCCCCACCGGGGCGACCCCTGGCGAGGGCAGGAGGCGAGAGCGACACATCACGGCCGGGCCCAGCGCGCCAGCCACCCTCTCGCAATGCGAAGGGGGCTCTGAGATGTGGCGGGGGTTGGCGCCCTGGAGGTGATGCCAGCGGCTGGTGTGCCCTTGGGGAACAGAGGAACTGGGCAGAGGTGCAGCCCCGCCCAGCCTGCCCCGCCCAGCCTGCCCCCTCCTCAGGAGCCTGTCCATCTTTCAGGCCTTACACAGATGCCAGTTGAAGCACACGATCGCCCTGTGGCAGCTGCTGTCGGCCCACCGGTCAGAACAGCTGCTCCGACTGCACAAGGTGGGTGCAGCCCCGCCCCACTGGGCTGGGGGCCGCCCTGGGGGCTGCCCGCTGCCTTCCCAGCCTCCCGCTGCCTCCCGTCTCCTCTGTTCCAGGAGCCCTTCAGGGAGGTCAGTGCCAGGTACAAAGTTGGTCTCAGCCCTGACAACGCGAAGTGCCTTCGCACTTTCCTGAACGAGGCTGACCTCCACTCCTTCCTCCTGGAGCTTCATGAAATGATCATCCTGAAACTGAAGAGCCCCCAGGCAGAGAGCAACTTCAACCCCGACTGGAGGTACGGCTTCGCTCGCGTGTGGGCCCAGCACACCCGGGGCGCCCCGCGGTCCCTCCCATGACCTTCCGCAGACACGGAAGGAGGTCCCGTCTGACCTCGGAAGCCCGGGCTCTGCCGTTCTACCCTTTCCAGGACCCCCGCAGGCTGGCCTTTTGGGTTTGATCTCTGCTGGGTTCTTACTTCCTTTTTTTAAAAAATGTTTAATTATCTCTGAGAGAGAAAGAGAGAGAGCAGGGGAGAGGAAGGGAGAGAGAGGGACAGAGGATCCAAAGCGGGCTCTGCACTGACAGCAGAGAGCCCAGCATGGGTCTGGAACCTGTGAACCCTGAGATCACAACCTGCACCAAAGTCAGCTGCGTAACCGACTGAGCCACCCAGGCGCTCCTGTTGGGCTTTTAAAAATAATACCAAAGTCATATATTCTCAATGTAACAAGTGTACTTATGTCAGAGATGTACATTTTATCTTTAAATTGTTTCTTTTTTATTGAAGTATAATTAATATGCAGTGTTATTAGTTTCTGGTTTACAGTATAGTCATTTAACAATTTTATACATTTCTCAGTGCTCATCATGGTAAGTGGGCTCTTAATCCCCTTCACCTATTTCACCCATCCCCCCACCCGCTTTCCCCCTGGTAGTGATCAGTTAGTTCTCTATAATTAAGGTTCTGTTTCTTGCCTGTCTTTTCTTACCCTTGCTCGTTTGTTGTTTCTTAAATTCCACATTTGAAATCATGGTATTTTCTTTCTTTGACTTCTTTCCCTTAGGATTATACTCTCTAGCTCCATCTATGTCACTGCAAATGGCAAGATCTCCTTTTTTATGGCTGAGTAATATTCCTCTCTCTCTCTCTCTCTCTCTCTCTCTCTCTCTCTCTCTCTCTCTGTGTGTGTGTGTGTGTGTGTGTGTGTGTGTACACATCTTCTTTATCCATTCGCAGTCAATGGACATTTGGGCTCTTTCCATAGTTTGGTTGTTGCTGATAACACTGCTATAAACATTGGGGTTCATGTACCCATTTAAATCTTTATTTTTGTATCCTTTGGATAAATATCTACAGTGTAATTGCTGGATTGTAGGGTAGTTCTGTTTTTAATTTTTTTGAGGAGCCTTCAGTTCCCTTTTCTCCCAAAACCATATAATTCCTAGGAGAAAACACATGCAGTAATTTTTCAACATCAGCTGTAGAAATATTTTTCTAGAAATGTCTGCTCAGGCAAAGGGAACAAAACCAAGAATAAACTATTTGGACCACACCAAAATAAAAAGCTTTTGCAAGGTGAGGGAAATCCTCAACAAAACCAAAAAACAACCTACCAAATGGGAGATGTTTGCAAGGGACATAATCTTAGAAAGGATTAGTACCTAAAATATATAAAGAACCTATACAACTCAACACCAAAGAGAGAGGGAGAGAGAAATACGTATTTTAAATTTGATAGAAAAAGCCACACCAATGTATAGTTGATGACAATACCCAACACCGGATATTACCCCTCTTTTGCATTTTTTGCCAATCTAATAGCCAAAAACAGGTATCTCGTTTTCACTTTATTTTCCTATTTTATAGGGAAGCTGCAGATTTCCTGCTCATCTGCTATCATTATGTCTTCCTCTGGATTATCTCTTGATATCTTTTAGGTTTCTTTTGGGCTATTTATCTTTTTCATAATCTTAAAAGATTTAAGACTAGGGGCGCCTAGGGGGCTCAGTCAGTTGCGTGTCCGACTTCAGCTCAGGTCATGATCTCACAGCCCATGAGTTTGAGCCCTTAGTCGGGCTCTGTGCTGACAGCTCGGAGCCTGGAACCTGTTTCAGATTCTGTATCTCCCTCTCTCTCTGCCCCTCCCCTGTTCACACACACACACACTCACTCACTCTCTCTCTCCCGTCTCTCTCAAAAATAAACATTAAATTTAAAAATATATACTTAAGATTTATCTTTTATTCTGTTACAAAACCTCTGATTCAGTCTTCAATTTCGGGAAGCCAAATCTGACAGAATTTTTCTGTAAGGACTAGAAAAACCTACCAGAAGGGCCCTCCTTATCCCGACGCTACAAAGCTATCTGCCACACTCTCTTCTTGTGTTTTTATAGTTTTAGGTTGTGCATCTGCTTTGTTAACCAGTTTATTTTTTATGTGTGACGTGAGGTAGGGATTTGTCGGTCCTATTTTCCTAAATAAGCAGTCCGTTCCCGGTTCTCACCAGCACCCTTTATCGATGCTGTTTCCTCCATTCTGCTGTCTAGCACATACCTGGGTGCGGTTATATTCTTTGAACATATTCAACCAGCCTTTGCTATCTGGGACTTTTAGTACAGAGAACAAAAGATACTTTCTCTAGGGAATTTGCCATCTTTGTTAATATAAAACACGAAATGGAATATAACTTTTTTTGAACGGTGAGCCTTTGTGCTTACGCAGATTGCATTACCAGAGTGCTTAACGGGACGTGACCCGGCCATTATCAAGGTCAGCTCTGCTGTGTGGGGTTTGAATACTTCAGCGTAGGAAGCGGCAGGCATGTTCCGGAGCCCCTGAACCCCGGCTTCTAGTCCCCGTTCTGTAACTCAGTACTGGTGGACTTTCAGACAGTATTTCTGGTCTCAACCAGCACTTTAGTTCTACCGACTTGGACACAGCGACGGCCTGACGGCGCCTTGCGTCACACGGGCGCATGCTTAACCTTCTGTCTCTTGTCCCTTGGTTTTTCAGCCTGAGAGACACTCTGGTAAGTTACATGGAAACTAAAGAGGGTGAAATTCCTCCTGAGCTGGAGTTTCGGTTCCCAGAGGAGATCCTGCTGAGCAGCTGTGTCCCCGTGTGGAGAACGGCCGCTGAGCTGAAGCGGGGTCGGCAGGTGCGGTAGAGCGCTGTGCTCGCCACGGGGGGGCGGCGGGCTCTTCCCGCCTCTGTCGCCGGCCGCCACCTGGGGCAGGACTTAGAGGGCGGCTGCTGGTGCAGCACCGAACCCAGGATCCCCGTGTGCCGTGCCGCGGACAGCTGCGAGCGCCACGCCGTGTCAGGAACACACGCGCATTCCACCTCTTTCCCGTCGGATTACGGCTACTGTCCGGGGGGCGGTCAGAACTGGAGACCCTGGGAAGCTGGAACGAGCCGCCTGTCCGTTGCCCGGGGCTCCAGGCAAGTGCTTCTCAGTTTCCTGGAGCGGGAGCGGCCTGTGCCTTCGGCGCGCCGGCTGGAGCCCGGCACACGCCCACCCCGGCCCGTCTCACTGCAGGATGAGAAGCGGGGAGACGGGGCTATTGACTTTGGCTCTTGTTTTCTAAATTGTTCTGCACTCACAGAGGAGAAGCCGGCTTGATCCTTTCTTCCATTCCCTCCGACTCTTGCTAATCGTGCAAATACTTGTAGGTTTCTAGGAAGGTGTGAGAAAGCGCCAGACCCCTTTTTGTGTCTTCCCAAATACGAGTCAGGGCATTCAGTGCCTTGAGGCCAAACCTCAGAGACCTCGCCGGGCCCCATGGACTCACTGCTGAGTTTCAAGTCAGAGCTGAAAAGCTTTCGTTGTGGAGAGTGCGGGGCTAGGTCGGGGGGCACTTTTAGGGCCTTCTTTCCTCTTTTACACAATGAAGAGACTGGAGTGATGGCCAGATTTCTCTAGAACGAGAAGTTCTAGAGGTTTTAAATTCCAAATGAAAGCTGATCAGCGCAGACTCGAATCAAAGGCATGGCTCTGGCATTTCTGTGGGGACCTGGGGACTGTCCGGGACCGTTGCTGTACAACGTGTCCTTCCTCTGAATCTGTCTGCTCCTTCCCCTCAGTCTCAGCCAAGACATAAGAAACAGACTCAGAGGGAAAACAAAAACAAAAACAGACACAGGCTCAGAGACTATAGAACCAGCTAAGTTTCTGCAAAAGAAAAAAAGATAGTCCACTGATCTGCCATGTTCTGATCTGTGAGTTGGGGATCTCTTTTGCACAATCTCCTTGGATACTTGCGGCCTCTGGACTGGCGCCACTTGCTCCCAGGTGGCTCAGCACCCATCGGCACTGAGATGACTACTGTTTACAAGTCAGAGGGGACTGCTGTTTACAAGTCAGAGGCAAAGGTCTTTAACGTACATGCCGAGTGCGTTCACGACGTGGGCACCTTGAGATTGGACCAGCGGAGCCAGAGCTGCAGAAACAGAAGATGCCATCCTGGCACCGGGCACCCACAGTGGAAGGAACTGGACAGGGAACGGCCCTCCGTGCTCTCCGGTGTGTGGTGAAGGGGAGCACAGTGGCCCAGGCCCCCTCATAATTAATCTGATACAACACCCGCTTGCACTTAGCAACCCATGATTGTATTGTTCTAGTCTATGCAAAGGTAACCCCCCACCCCCCCAGTGGATCGAGGGGCAGCAGGGAGGGTGCCTGCTCAGCTCCCCAACTTGCACTTGGAATTGCTCTTATACCTCCAATCCAGGACGGAGCCGGTGTGGCGTCCAGGTGCTGCTCTGGTCCCTCCCTGTGCCACACCTTAGCAGCGGGAGTCGGGGGTCTCTTGCTGTGAAACCTTTTTTGGGGCTGGGAATCCCCCCCCCCCACTTTTAATGAAGGGTTTTTTAACTAAGATATTTTGTTTTGTACGCTGTACTTTCAAAGCCTTAAAAGTCGTATGTAGCATTATTGTGTTTATACAGAAATAACACTGGCCGAGCACAAGCAAATGTCAATTTTGTGATACTTGTCATACCTGTTTTAATAAACTTGAGTTTTGCTGCTAAAGAATCCTTCTCTTTGAGGGCAGAGCTTCGACACATCAACCCAGCTGTGGGGAATGGTTTGGGTGGGTTTTTTGTGTGGAAATGTAGTCGCATCTATGTAGTGGAAGGTTCTGGACAGAAAGCATACACCGTGGTGTACATGAGAGGTAAACGTTTTCTTGGGACAAAATGATAGCAGAGCAGGGGAGCCACGACTGGCCACCCCTTCCCTCCCCTCGCCGACCTCTGGACTCCAAGCCAAAAGCTTCTGCCTCAGCCTCAGAGGGCAAACCTCCGTTCCCCACCCGAAATGCCTTCACTGGAAGACAGCAGGGCTCCGGCTCGCCCCTGGTGAGAGCCACCTCTGTCCACAGGGCGGGGTTGTGAGACGGGAAGACCGTTCCTCTGCGGGAGGAAAGACGGGGTAACCCAGGATACACCGTGAGCATCCGGCGGCCCACTGAACATTCAAGCAGGGAAATCCCATTAAGGGGGAAACTGCATTTTCTCCTCCAAATAGAGGGGCTTCTCCAGCAGAGAATCAGGGGGCTCCCAGGGTAGGGCTCGCCCCTGCCATCAGACTCCTCTTCCCGCAGCTTCTGTTCCACGCCCCCTCGCTGATCCTCTGCCTCCTCTTCCTCCCCGACCCCGGCGTCCTCCTCTGCGCTCCCATCTCCATTCACATCCGTCGCTCTGCACGTTTCCCAAATGCAGCTCTTTCTGCTTCCCGCCCAGGCAGAAACGGCCTTAGTTGGTGGTGACTTGCCTGAAAGTCTTCACAACCGATCACTGTCTCCTCTTTGTTTTCATAAAATTTTTTTGAAGTTTTATTTATTTTTGAGAGAGAGAGACAGAGCGCGTGCAGGGGAGGGGCAGAGAGAGAGGGAGACACAGTATCCAAAGCAGGCTTCAGGCTCTGAGCTGTCAGCACAGAGCCTGACACGGGGCTTGAACCCACAAACCGTGAGATCATGACTTGATCTGAAGTCAGATGCTCAACCAATGAGCCACCCAGGCACCCCACCATGTCCTCTTTAAGACCTTACTGTGTGTGTAAATTATTTACCCCTTGTCACAGGCTGTGGGACTTCACCAGCTGCTAACAGAGGCAGCCGTAAGCTCTGTTGGTGGTTCCCAGATGCAGGCAACGCTAACCCAGACACGAACTTCCAGTGATGAGCATTCGCCATGAAAACGACACCAGGACAGAGGCACTGCTGGGGTTGGTAAAGCTGCCCAAGTCTGTGCATGCATTTGGGCCCTGGCACATCTCTGCCTTAATGGTGACGCGCTCAGTGAGAAGCTGGTATCTCGGCAGGGCCTGGAGAGCTCCCGGATGGGGCTGAAGGAGAAAACCTGGGGCCCTGAGGTGAGTGACAATCCATCCAAGCCATGGCCAGCATCTGCATTGCTTCCCGCCTTCTTCCAGTCCCTTCTTAGTCACTAATTAAGCTTATGCACAAGCTTTTACGGCTCCCATTTCCAACGGGAAAGCCAGCACCAGCCAAGGCAGATGCTGAGCACATCGCATCTCATCAGGGTACTGGGGACAGCAGGGCCCTGCTTCCTTCTGAGGAGGGAGGATCTAGGGGAGTCCCCTAGCCAAGAGCAGAGAAATGGAGGAAGGGCCCTAGCTGGAGCCCGTGCAGGCTGCCCCAGGACCTTGCACATCCTATACTGGCCTGTCTTCAAGCTCACCCCCTCCTCCACACCCATCCTGATTATGAGGGCGCCCCAGGCCCCAGCGTCCCCTCCTTGCCACTGCCTGCGCCCCCAAGTGCGGCCGAGCCTCAGCCCAGAGCAACTCTGGTCCCGGCCCACAGGCCCACGAGTGGCCCCCAGTTACCCAAGCCACGGGCCTCATGCTCACCACCCTGCACCACGATAAGGCTGACACAGTACAGCCCAGACGGCCCCCAGGGTAAGTCGGCTCTCCCATTTGCCAGCTCGGTGGCCTTGCGAAAGCCCCTTCCTTGCCTTCTCTCTTTATAAAAGCAGCCCCTCCCACTGCCTCGCAGCAGACAGCCTCCCCTCTGGTCCGCCACCCCCTGTGGTGCATTCAGTAAAAATCCATCTCCTTTGTTCTGCCTCGAGTGAATTATTTCGTGTCCTGTGCCACCCACTCCCACCAATCATTGTCCCACATTTGGGGCCCCCATCCCATCAGAAGATACCTTTTTTAAAGCACCACACCTGTAGGTTGTCAAATGCTACATGAAGCTTGCCCTGAACCTCAAACTTCCCTATTTCCTTTTGAAATCTATATTCAGACTACAGTTCATATCCACATATTTCTCCAAATTCCCCGGGGAGAATTATAAACCACGAGTCAAAAGCTACCCATCAGCCTCACTGGCTGCCTTCAGTGCCTCAACTACACCAACCTCTTTTCAACCCCAGGACCCTTACATGTGTTGTGCCCCTTGTGGAATGCTGTCTCCCACTCACCCCCCTGGGCTCCTCTTAACTCCCCCATGGCCAGCGTAAGTAGGCATCCCTGCCATTCTCACGCATCCCGCACGAGGCCGGGCTCCAAGAGCGCGTGGAATAAACGCTCGTTAAATTGAGGCGCCGGGGGTGAGAGTCGGCGGGCCAGAGGTGGTCCGCGTTTGGTCTCCACCCGAATTTGCGAGCGAGGTCCCCTGAGGCCGGCGTCGTGCTCTCCAAGCTTCACTGGACCTATAACCACGTGCCGCGGAGGGGGCAGGTGCTCGGTGATGGGCATCCGGAGCCTCGGCACTTCCGGTGCCCAAGCGGACCGACCGTGCTGAGTGCCCGACGTGGAAGGTCACCCTGCCTCGCCCACCCTGCACTGCACACCTCGCGCGGGACGCTGGCACGGGGACGCCCCCCCGGGGACGCCCCCCCCCCCCCAGCACCGGGCACCGACCAGGCTGCGAGCAAAGCCGGCCGTCGCCAGTTACTGCCCGCAGCCCGCGCCGTCTCGAAGCTGCTCCGGATGCCGCTCGAGCCTTCATCCCCGTCCCGGGTGAAGGTGCCCGCGCGCGGGCGGGACCGCTCAGACCCGGGCGGGGAAGGCCGGCGGGCGGCCAGGGGCGGCCAGGGCCCCCGGACTGCCTCCCGCCACCAGGAGGCGGCGTCGGGAACCCAGCGCCCCAACCAGGAGCGCCGAGGCCACGAAGGCAGCAGGGCGCCTGCGCGCGAGTCGCCGGAAGTGACGCCACCAGGCAGGGACGCCACCGGAAGGGACGCTTGGGGTCGAGCCATGGCCCGGGAGGCGGCGGAGCGGCCTCCGGAGGAGACCTTGTCGCTCTGGAAACGGTAATGGGGTCGGATGACAGCCAAGTGGCGGGGGCTGGAGCGACTCTGGGGCCGCGGGAGCGGGGGCGGCGCTCAGACGAAAGGGCCTTCGGGAGTTGTAGTCTGCGAGGTCCGCGGCTCTCGCCTCCGGCGCCGCGTCTCGGTGGAGGGGTCGGGCGGTGAGATTGCGGAGGGGGCGCTCCCCAGGCCGGGGTCCCCGGGAAGTGGAGGGTGAGACCGGGAGTGCCCCGGGGAGGAGCCTCGAGCCTCGCGGCCCGCTGGCCGTGTGTCTGCCCTCAGGGAGCAAGCCCGGCTGAAGGCCCTCGTGGTGGACCGGGACACGGAGGCGTGGCAGCGGGACCCCGCCTTCTCGGGGCTGCAGAGGGTCGGGGGCGTGGACGTGTCCTTTGTGAAGGGAGACAGTGTCGGCGCCTGTGCCTCGCTGGTGGTGCTCAGCTACCCTGAGCTCGAGGTAACCCCGCGGGGGCCGCCCCGCTCGGGCTCGGGCTGCGTTAGTGAGAGAGGCGGGACAGGGAACAGGGCCCGCGCAGAACCCCGCTTCTCCTGTGGGGTTCCGTTAGTAAGTTGGGAACCCGCTGCAGGAAAAAGAGGGAGGTAAAAACTAAAGATTCTGTGATTGAAAGTCTCAATTAACTCATGATCTTTACTTCGAGCTGATCAGCATCTTGGGTCCCGTCTCAGTGACCCACGGCCACACCCTCTGGGAATTGGCCAAGCTGGACATCTCTGTTCCCAGACCCCTTGCGTTCAGTCACACGCCAGCTCCGTTTTTGCCACCTCCTAAATATCGCTCGAATCTGCCCCCTTGTCTGCATCCTCACTGCCCCTTCTCTGGCTGTGCCTCTCACCCCTCCTGTAGGTGACTAGTAGAACCTTCGCTGGGTTTCTGCCTCCAGGATGGACCCCTGTGGTCCCCTTTCCGTGCTGCCAGCAGAGTGATTTTCCTTTAAAGCAAACGCGATCATGTCATCACCCAGTTCATTGAAAACACTTAAGTGCCCGCTGTGTGATCTCATGATACATTAAAGGTTGTACTTGCTAATGTGTGTAAAGGCGCTTGGGGAGCTTGATGCTGTAGGTTCGACTCTCACCAAGCCCCTTTCCCCACTCCAGAGTTCTCTAGATCCCTCACACATGCCCTGCTCTGTCTGCCTGCCTGACCCTTGCATTGGCATTTTCTCTCCTGGAATATTCTCTGGCTAACCCCTACTTGGGCCTCAGGCCCTCCGGGAAGCACCCCTCTCACCCTGCAAGATCAGGAGTTACTCCCCGTACTTTCCTCTTTATTGTCCTGGGATGGGATGGGCGGGTCTGTTTCCTCCCAAAATGTAGACTCCACGATGGTAGACATCAGGCTGTCATGCCCACCAGTTGTCACCTTGGGCACCTTGCTCAGTGCTTGTCGTGTAGAAGACACTCAGGTACACGAAGGAAGGAACAGTATGCCCGGGGTTCATTTGGAGGCAACGGTTCGGGAAGCCTGGGCCGGGAAAGCTTTGCTCTCAGCATAGAGCCACGCCCTCCCTGCCGCTGCCTGCGCCCAGCGACCGCGTGTTCTTGCTTCCATGTCTTCGTGCTTTACCTGGAAGACCCCTTGAGTCAAAATTCAGCAAAATCGTACTGAGCGCCTGCTGTCGTGAAGAGCTGGATATAGCGAGGTAATGGACCCAGAGTCCCTGCCCTCCCAGGTCGCTTGGTCACTTTGCAGGATGGCCTTGGAGATAAGGCACAGACTCGGGAGTTAGGCTGCCTGAGTTTTTGCCTCCACTATGTCACCCCCACCTCAGCCCCCTGGACCTCCGTTTCCTCCTTTCTAAATCGAGGATGAAGATACCGTTGGTAGCCAGCACGGTAAATGAGATCGTGCACGGAAAGCAGTTCGTTGGCACGTGGTGAGCCCTCAGAAAGTAAACACGGCAGCATTAATTCTCAGGACAGCTTCTCACTTTTCAAGACTTGGTTCACAGATTCCCAGCAGGATTAATCGCCTCTCATCCCCGTCCTTGGTCTCGTTCTTACGTAGCACTTGTGCGTCGTACTAAACGAACTGTAGGTTCTTGAGGGCTGGGTGATGCCGAGCTGGCGTGGAACCAGCACAGAGCGGCACGCATGCCGCCTGGATGGAGGCGGCATCTGTCGTCCCGTGTGCGGAGCAAGCACCAGGGCCAGTTCTGGCACAGCACCTCCCAGACACCTCATCGCGCAGCTCTGCCCCGTCAAGTCGCCTGGGCGTGTGTGCAGAAGTACAAACCCACAGGCAAACCCAGAGACAGAAGGGAAGTTCCTGGCTGCCGAGGGCTAGGGAGTGGGATGGGCACAGTGTGAGTGCTGACGAGGCGGGGTTTATCTGGGGGCCGTGAAAGTGGGCCAGAATTAGATGGCTGTACAACTCTGTAAGTGACAAGAACGTTGACTTACATGCTTCAAACAAGTGAACTTTATAGTAGTAAATTATTATATCTCAATAAAGTTTTTAAAAAATATATCCATCCCAGAGCCCCAACTCATTTCCTGAAGAAAAAAAATTCTCCCAGTAGACGACCTGGATACCGGCTTCTTTAAACAGCCTCCCTGTGACCTCAGAGCACAGCCGGGGCGGGGAGCATGGGCCGCCCTCCAGGTAGCTGGGAATCCTTTCCTTGGTCACCCTGGCGGCTGTGGACTCCCAGCACAGCCCGCTCTGTAGTTAGACTCCGGTTGGTGCGCTCTTTTCCACGGGGAGCTGAATGGTTTGTGGCTTCTGCCCATCAGTTGTGCCCCAAGCAGCAGAGCGTAGGACAGACCTGTCCTGCCTTCCTACATGTCACCCCTCCCACCGTCGGAGGACGGTGCTCTGCTCGCCCTCCGTCTGGCCCGCTCTGTCCTGAGTCTCCCTGATGTGATCTCCAGCTGCTTCCCGTGCTGCCGGCGCTGCGGCGGGTGCCGTCTGTATAGCAGGCGCCCAGCATTGGACCGAGTACCTCACATGTAGCTCCTCCCCGGTCCGGCGGACCTCCGTGCACCTGGGACGGAGTTTGTAGGCGCCGCGCCATCGACCTGGATTGAAACCTGCAGACCTTCCTGGAGATTCTGACCATCCACGTGATGCTCACACAGCAATCACACAACTGAATTTTTTCCTTTTTCCAGATCTTTAACCTGAAAATGCGTGAACGTTGAAAGAATAGTACACTGGACACCTGTATACTCTCTACCTAGACCCAGCTGTTACCAATTGATGTATTTCTGTGTGTGCATGTGTGCGCTGGGGGATTCGAAAGTGTCTCCCAGCAGTTGTGACAGCTCACCTCCGAGCTCCTCAGCAGGCCTGTCCCAGAATGGCCTCCTATACGTTACAGCAGTGTCGTCACCAGGCCTCAGAGCAGTCGCTGGAATCCCTCTCCACAGCCCGTCTCCCCAGTCTCCTCTTAAGTTTTGTTTTCTCTTCTGATCTTAAAGGTTTAACATTTTTTTAAGATTTTTTTTTTTTTTGAGAAAGGGTGTAAGTTGGGGAGGGGCAGAGAGAGAGGGAAAGAGAATCCCAAGCAGGCTCTGCGCTGTCAGCAGAGCCTGACGTGGGACTCAGTCCCATGAGCTATGAGATCGTGACCTGAGCTGAGGTTAAGAGTTGAACGTTCAACTGACTGAGCCCCCCAGTCACCCCTTTAGCGCGTATTTTATTTATTTATTTATATTTTTATTTATTTCTAGGAGAGAGAGAGAGAGAGACAGCGTGAGTAGGGGAGGGTCAGAGAGAGGGAGACACAGAATTGGAAGCAGGCTCCAGGCTCTGAGCTGGCAGTCAGCACAGAGCCCGACGCGGGGCTCGAACCCACGAACCGCGAGATCATGACCCAAGCGAAAGTCGGACGTTTAACCGACTAAGCCACCCAGGTGCCCCACCTTAGCGTGTATTTTAAATCCACTCTTGCTGTTAGACTGTGTGAAGAGCCGGGGGTGTCCAATATGTCACCATGTTTCCTTTACTCTTTTCTTTCCCCGCACTAAGATACTTCTGACTGTTCCAGGTCCGTTTCTCCAAGTTCACAGTTGGCTTTTTGAACGTGTAGGGTCGGATTTCCTTTTATTCGTGGAACCTTTCTTGCATCGTGGCTTTAAGTGCTCTATTTACTAGTTTGGCTCCGTTAACTTGCTTTTCTTCTTCAGTCACAAACTGTGGCTTTTCTGTCTTTCCAGAGTTATTTCCATTCTAAGTTGTTAATTTTCACCTTGTATTCTCCACGTGCCATTTAAGGATAGTTCGTTTTCCTTTGCCACACGACTGGTTAGGGGCAGCATTTGTTTAGTCACTGGTGAGCGTGGATGACTTCTGTCTGGGTTGTACGGCCTTTCACTGCTCATTGAGAGTCGGATTTACACGTGGCTGGTGGCTGGCGGCTGGCTGGGCTTCTTGGATCACCAGGGACAGTGAGTGTGGTCGCTCCAGGGAATGGTGTCCTTTTCTCAGGTGAAGATGGCCAGTGCGCATTCCGATTCTTGACACTTTTGTTTCTGAAGAACCTCACGCTTCTGGCCTCGTTCTCTTCACCACAGCCCTGCAGGGCTCTCCTGCTTCTCCCCTTCCTGAGAACTGCTGCTGGCCCCGGGGCCTTCCAGACCTCTTCCTCCAGGCCCCCTACGGCCAGGCTGCCTACAGGCCTCGTCCCGTAGGGGCCCCCGTCCTTGCCCAGCACAGATCTGCAGCGGGCGCTGCTGGCCCTGGCTGTTTACTTCCGCACAGAGGCACGCACTGAGGGTTGTAATAGGCTCACCCTTCGGTTACACGGTGATATGGTGACATGGTGTCAGCCGGCGCGGGGGGAGGGGGGTGCCCTCTCCTTGTGGACCCCTGGTTTCTGGAACTTGTGCGGACAGATTCAGGGATAAGCAGCCATCATCCTGTGAGAACTCAGCCCACACTTGAACTTCATGCCTGTTTGTGCGAAATGTCCCCTTGTTGCGTGGAGCTAGCGCTCCAGTCTGCTGGGTGCCCCGTGGTCCAGTCACGGTCCTCATCACAGGAGATCCTGCCCACTTTGGGGTCACTGGCATCGGAGAAGTTTCCCGTGAGTCATAGGCAGAGATGCTGGAAGCAGTGTGCCCCTCCCCCGAGCAGCCCCTGCTCCTGGGCACAGGCGGGGAGAGCCCAGTTCGGGGGAGGGTTGTGGTTTTGAAAAGGCCCCGGGGCCCTTCGCACCGGCCTGTCCCTGGGGACCCCCTTCTCTTCTGGATTGCCCAGCTCTGAGGCTTCTCCTGGCCTTTCCTGCGTCTCCGAGATCCTTTCATAAAGCTGGGGTTGCCTATCTTGTGGTTGCTGCTTCCGCCCTGGCTGTTCCTTCCCCAAGTCCCTGCTAGTGGGAACAGTGACGTCCTCACTCTGGTGCTGCTTCGCACACACGCTTCCTGTGCTTTGTCCTCTCTGAGCCTCCCAGCAGCCCAGTGTGGGTGCGGGATGGCGGAGGGGGCCCACGGGGGGGGGGGGGGGGCAATGCAGGCAAGGTGTGGGCGGGTTTCCTGGCCAGAGAGGAGGGCAGGGGGAGAAGGGGAGGGAGCCAGCGACAGTGAAACACGGGCTGAAGGATGACAGGCCAAGGGCCAGCAGGAGGCGGGGACCAGGGGCCGTGCCTGCCCGTGACCCGGGTGCCCGGTGACAGGTGGTGTATGAGGACTGCCAGATGGTTAGCCTGACGGCTCCCTACGTGTCGGGCTTCCTGGCCTTCCGAGAGGTGCCCTTTCTGGTGGATGCGGTGCGGCGGCTGCGGGAGCAGGAGCCCGGCCTCATGCCCCAGGCACGTACTTGGACTCCAGGGAGAAAGGCCCTTTCCATCCATGTCACCCCCTGCTGGGCGAGGTCTGACCTCCCTGGAGAGGGTGCACTTTTACCAGATTTTCTAAAGAGCCTCCCACCGCCCCCCCCAAGTGGTTGCTCCAGGGTCCCCTGGCCCAACGGGGGAGGGGCAGCTCAGCTGACTGACTTCCACGTGTGGCTCTTCCAGGTCCTCCTTGTGGATGGAAACGGGCTTCTCCACCACCAAGGTAACCTGCTCCCGAAAAACGGGACCCAGAGGGGACGGTCCTGACCGGTCTCCTCACAGAGGGCCCGCCTGGCCCTGGCCGCTCTCCCCTAGGCTTGATGTCCTAGCCAGGCCCCCACCCAGTACCTCTTGTCAGCCCCGCCTCTTCCCTGCCGCCCCCGAGGCCTCCCCTAGCCCCCCCACCCCCCGGCCCGTCGCCGGTGCCCTCGGCCGCTGTGGTCCTGACTGCTCGTTCAGCTGGCCTGTCCTCCCTCTACCCGCCCCGAGCTCTCACAGGCTCACTGAAGCCAGACAGGAGTGCCCGTCCCCCACTGGTGCCTGGGGACTTGCCCCCACCTGGGTGCCAGGGTGCTGACCCCAGAGAGAACGGCTGAGGGAGAAGTCCAGGGGTGGGGCCGCAGAGGGACCCGGGAATGGCTGGCTTCGGATGTTCTGGCCACCGCCAGGGTGCCAGCATGTGACTCGGCACTGCACGGCAGGAGCCCCAAGTGTGTGTTGGGAGGGTGACACAGAGGCCTGGTGGCAGCTGCAAAAGAGAAAAGAGAATGGAAAGTGCCAGAAAGTGGAAGGAGAAATGGGGTGAAGTATTGTGAGCTAATCAGGCTCCTAAGCCTGCCCAAGGGAAGGAGGCATCCTCCGCCCCAGCCTGATGACCACGGACTCAGGGCTGGGGTCCACATTCCAGGTCAGGTTGGCTGTCCGAGGCCCGGCCCCCCGGTGCTCAGCCCGCCAACAGGCCTCTGTTTACCTGGGGAGGGCGGCGGGCTCTGCTTGCGCGGTCTCCGCCCCACGAGCCCGGCCTCGCTCTCTGTCCCCGTAGGCTTTGGCGTGGCCTGCCACCTCGGCGTCCTCACAGACCTGCCGTGCATCGGGGTGGCCAAGAAGCTCCTGCAGGTCGACGGGCTGGAGAACAACGCCCAGCACAAGGAGAAGGTGAGGGCTGGGGGCGATGCCCTGTGCCAGGGCAGGGCAAGGAGAGGGCGTGTGGGGACACACAGGCCGGAGCCCGCCCCCAGGGACCTTGCCTGCTGGTACCCTCCTCCCCATGCCGGCTCCCTAACCCACTTTTCTCTCTGCGTGTCCTGCGCCTCCCTCACAGCTCTGGGGTCGTGGCAGCAGACTCCCGGGCTGGAGGAGAGCCCTCTGCGCCCTCCCAGCCTCCTGGGCACACGCTTGCGTCTCCCATCCCCGCTAGCTTTGTGCTGCGGTGGGAGCCCATGTGGCCCTCTGTACTTGTCCCCACCTTCTCCCGACCTCTCCCTCCTTCAGCCCCTCAAGGCTGGCTTTGGGGATGTGACAGCCACTCCAGAGGGAGCCAGTGACATGCCCAGCTCACCGCTGGACGGCGGATGCTGAGAACAGTGACACGTCTGTCTCACTCCTGTGGGCAGTCCTGGTTCTGCACAGAATAGTTCGCTAAGGTGACAGGGACCCCAGACCAAACTGACTGGTGGACCGCTCCCCACCCTCAGCAAAGGCTTTGCTAGGTTGAATCCAATACACCTAAGTTCCTCCCAGGAGAAGAAGCGGCAGGAAGCGGTTCTGGCCCGGGTGGCATCCGTGTATCCACCAGCCTTCACTCGGCCTGGCACCTCCCCCCGTCGGCACCGGGGCCTGGGCAGGCTGCCCTTCCCCGGCCACGGGCTCCTCATGCACAGAAAGAGGAGACAGCTGAGATCCAACGGCCCCACCAGGGCGGACGCTGCCGGGAAGGCCTCCCGTACCCCGAGCCCGCTGACGGGATGGGTGCGGGCACGGCCCCTGCTGCTTGGCTTTGCAGACTCGGGCCCACCCTCTCCTTGCCCGGCGGCGGCCCAGCCTCAAAGATGAACAGGCCTGCCCTCCACCCTTCCCTGAGAAAAGACATTTTCTATGTGATTTTCTCCCTGTTTTCCAGATAGGACTTCTGCGAGCTGGAGGAGACTCATTTCCTCTGGTGGGAGGCTCTGGGGCCGTGCTGGGCACGGTGAGTGGCCGGGGGCCTGCGCCCACCGAGATGGCGCCCACAGATACGCATGCACCGGTTCGCGTGCACCAGACTCTGTCCGCCTCCCCCCGCCACCCCGCCTGGTCCAGGGTGTGCCCTGCGCCTTTCTCCCCTGCGCCGGCACCCTGGGCTGTGCTGAGGGGACCTCTGGGCTGCACGTGCCCCAGCCGGCCCCTGGACACGCGGTGCGCCCGAAGCCCCCAGGGCTTGTCCCTACCGTGCTCTGACTCTGCCTTCCGTGTCCTAGGCCCTGAAGAGCCACGACCGCAGCACCAAGCCGCTCTATGTCTCTGTGGGCCACAAGATCAGCCTGGAGGCGGCCGTGCGCCTGACCCGAGGCCTCTGCAGGTTCCGGATCCCGGAGCCCGTGCGCCAGGTGGGTGGGCCGCTGCGCACCCCGTGGTCTTCCCTGGACGCAGGCACCTGTGGAGGGGCCTGACTGGGGCACACTGGGCCCTGGAGTGGGGGAGGGGGCCAGAGTTCATCCTGGGCCCCTGCTCTGCCCGGGCCCCGGGTCTGCTGTGCTCTGCTTCTCCACGGCCTCCTGCACACCGCGCCGGGGTCATTGGGAGAATCTGCTCAGGCGACGGAGCAGCCCCCCGGCCAGCCGCTGGGGGCCGACCTGCCCTGCCCGCCTGGGAGGGGGCAGCTGTCCTCTGCTGGGGGGGGCCCTGCAAGGCTGCAAGCTGTGCTCAGGAAGGTTCCTGGGGGAGCAGGGCCCTCGGTCGGGAGATTGCAGGGTGTGGTGTGCCAGGCTCCCAGCACCTAAATTGGGGTGGGGGGAGGGTGGGCAGAACTCTGGGGAACAGGTTGGCTCGGCTGAGGAAAAACAGCCTGTAGGAGACAGAGCTGAGCACAGATGCCTGTGGGTCTGCATTGGTGAGCTCGGTCGTGACCGTCACAGGTGTGTCCCAGAGAGGCCCGTGGAATGAGGACTCATGAGAAGCTGTGCTCAGGAAGAGACCAGCCAGAGGAGGGGGAAAGGCAGGCCAGGCCCCATTTGCAAAGGCCCTGGGGTGGGAAGGTTTGATGCCAGGAAAGTGAGAGGAAGGTGTGGCTGTAACCGGACGAGGGAGGTACGGGGAGGTGCGGGCCTGTGCTCGAGGCTGCAGGGCTGCTTGAGGCTCCCCCACAGGGACCTGGGTGTGAGTCCCCGCCTGTGGGCGGCTCCCAGGAGCTGGGGGAGCCTGTCTGGACCAGAGGTGCCGGCCTCTGCAGGCTCCTGGTTTAGTGCGGCTGTAGGACAGGAGGCCAGAGTGCCCGGAAATCTCCCTCCCCCGTCTCCCCGCGGCCTGCGCTGGGTCAGCTACAGGCGCACCGGGCAGAGAAGCCGCAGCCAGACTGCCCAGTGCTCCACGACACCTGGCTCCGCCCTAGCCCTGCTGCCCCCCACCCCCCAGCGGCCTGCGACCTTCCCCAGCGGCTGATGCGCAGGGCGGCCTGCAGGTGGCAGCAGTAGCCCACGCGGCTGTGGCTCCCGCCCCTGCTGCCCCCTGCACCGAGCACCCCTCAGCCTCAGCCTCCCTGTGTCTGCCCAGGGCTCCCTGCCGGGTTCCTAGGTTGTGGGTCTTCGAGCTGTGACACTCATGCCCCCCCTTCCCTCCCCTGGAGGCTTTAACTCTTCCCTTGAGCCTGTCTCTGGGAGAAATCCAGCAACACCCCCAGGCCCCTGGAGCCCAGAGCTCTGGGGTCCTTCCACGCCTTGCTCTGCCCCCGTGTGGACAGCGAGCACATCGCTGCAGGTGGACAGTGGCCTATGAAGTACCTTGGACAATTCCCAGGCGGCCAAGGACTGTATGTTTGCCCTCGAGGGGAGCCCGCCGCGTCCTGGGCCTGCCCTCGCGAGGGAGAGAAGCAGCTGCCTGTGCCGGGAGCCCGCAGCCCCCATCCCCGCTCTGGGAATGGGGGGAGGGCCCTGTCCTGCCGCCCGGATCATCTCCCCGTCCGTGTTCATCCTGGGCTGTTGGCCTGTCAGCACTTCATTCTCTTGAGCACTTCTGGAAGCCCCTAGGAAAGGGTGAGAGGCGGGTTCGTGCCTGCTTTGTCTCTGCATAGAGTCTGTGGGTCTCCCCCCTCCCCCCCCCAGACCACCAAGGCAGCCCTCTGGCGCCAGGACTGGCTCTCTGGTCAGGTCGGCCCTGACTGCTGCAGGGAAAGATGGGGGTGGGCCTTCCCACCAGAATATCCCACCCCCCACCCCCCTCTCCTGCTTGCTGGTTCAGTCTGCAACAGAAGCATTCGGAGGGATTAACTGCTGTGGCCTGAAGGGGGCTAAGCCCGTCTGAGCCAGGATCAGGGCCTCCCTGAGGCCAGTGCGATCACCCTGAGGAGGGGCCGGGGTGGGAGAGGGCTCCGTTCTGGTCTCAGCTTCTCTCCCTCAAGTCCGCCTTCATCACGTCCATTGCAGTGACTTTGCAGAGCTTTCCATAGACACTTCCCGGGGCCATGGGGGGAGTCCTCACAGACACGAGCCTGGGAGACACCAGCTGGGCTGAGGAGACCCCTCAGAGAAGACGGGCTGAGCAGAAGCGAAACCTACAGAAAGCACCAGCCACAAACCAAGCACAAGCTGAGTGGCCCCCGGAAACGCAGGGACAGCCGAGCCTCCAGCGCAGCCCATGCACTTAGGCCCTTCCAGGACCCACCGTCACAGGGCTTTGACCAGGGGACCTGGCAGCCCCTTTTCCCTGAGACAGGCCTGTGACGGCCTGGCGGTGCCTCTGTGGGCTCGGGGGAGCGAGAGCGTCCCCGCTGGGCTGTTGGCAGACACCTGTCTGGAGGCCACCACTTCTCACCAGGCCGCCCTCCCCTCAGGCTGACATCCGCTCTCGAGACTACATCCGCAGGACCCTGGGAGCCCTCAGACCCCCCGCACCAGGGCAGGACAGGTGAGTGCTGGGGGCGCTCTCGGGAGACAGATGTGGGGCTGTGCTGGGCGGGGCCGGGAGGAGACAGAGTCCTGCTGGGATGGGACACTGAGGCGGCAGGATGTGGAGCCTGGGCAGAGCCGGGGCCGGTGGGGGCTCCTGCAGCCCCCCAGCGCGGCCCCCACCTCCCACATCCATTCCCTGTGAGCCCCCCCCCCCCCCCCGGGCCCCCCCCCCCCCCCGTCAGATGGGCCCGGTCCTTGTCCCACTGTGCACCGCCAGCTCTGGTCATTATACCCCCGTGCCTCGGTTTCCCCATCTACACTCCAGGCATGGTGATTCCTGTGCTGGCAGCTCTCGTGGGAGGGCCTGGCATGGATGTCACAGCCAGCAGGGGCGGGTTATTGCGCCCTGACAGCAGCACAAGGCGGACACTGTGACCCCACTTCCCACGCGAGGAGACTGAGGCACGGCCTTGATGAGCAGCAGAGAGGCTCTGGGCCACATTTGCTCGAACTCCTTTGCTTTCCGAAGCCCGGGGCTGTCCAGGGCCCAGCTGAGCTGCTCTGAGAACAAAGGGACCCCCAGGCTCCGCCAGGGATGGGGGCCGGCTGACTGGAGCGCACACGGCACGGTGTGCCCCTTCCTGAATCGGCAGCAGCTGCTGGGGACCGCGTGGGAAGCGAGGGGACCCCTGGGCCGGCTCTGCGTTTGATGCTGCCCTCTCTCAATGTCATTATCAGGAACCGGAAGGTATGGAAGCCAAAAGGAGGCTCGGAAGAGCCCAAGGATGAGGGCAGGCCCCCCAAGGCCCACAGCCAAGGCCCCAGGCTACACGGGAACACCCCAGACCCAGACCCACGCGGCCAGCAGCAGTGAGTGGAGCCGAGCCGGACGCAGTGAAGCTCTGCAGTCACCCGACTTCCAGCTCCTGCCTGGACGGGAACGGGCCGTGGCGGCCGCAGCAGCAGGCTGAGCGCCCGGGCCCCGGGACACGCAGGCCCGCCCTGCTCGGGGATCTGGGTGGCGCGGCTGCGGGAGCTCGGCAGGAGACGGGCCTCGGGCGGCAGGGCGCCAGCCGCGAAGGAGCGTGACGTTGCTTTCCCGGGAGCGCAGGAAAGACATGCAGGGTTCGTGGGGCTTGGGGGGTTTTTGTTTTCTCTCTCAAGCGCCCCGTGGGCTGCACGTGCCTTTGTGGCCTCTCGTCTGGCTGGTGCTTCAAGTACATACACTGTTGCCTTGTTTTTGCATTTTTATTCTCTAGTGTCCATTTTAACTAGCGCTTCCCCTCATCTCCACCCCTGACCAGGCGGCCCCTGCGTCACTTCTGCCCTCACCCGGCAGGGTGCAAGCTAGGGGGGCCGGGCCCTCGGCTCACGGCCGCCCCCCCTACCCACCAGCCTGCCTGCTGCGGTTACACGAGGGGCCCAGGGGGCACGTGGGGTGGTCGGGGACCAGATGGGACCCGGGCTGGTATCCGAGGGGAGAGGCGTCGGGCCCCACTGCCCTGGCCGGGGCTGTGACGGTGGGTGGACCCGCCTGGGAAGCCCGTTGAGGCTCATCCCCTCGACTGCAGCTCTGTTAGCGCTCCCTCGCTGCTGCCCGCCTCCTGACCCCAGGCCCGACCTGGCCCCGTGCTGGCCCCTGGTCCCCATGTGGGCGGCAGGTCCTGGCCCAGAGGCTGTGGGTGAGGGGCGTGGCTGCAGCCCCGCGCACTCTGGCATCTGCTGGGAAGAATGATGTGAGAAGGCTTTTCCTGCCGTTCATACATTTTCTTAGGCCTATTTATTTATTTTGAGAGAAAGAGCAGGTGCACATGAGGAAGGGAGGGGGAGAGAATCCCAGACAGGCCCCGAGCTGACAAGGGGCTCAAACCCATGAACCGTGAGATCATGGCCTGAGCTGAAACCGAGTCAGATGCTCCACTGACTGAGCCCCCCAGACGCCCCTTTCATACTGCTTCTCAAGGAGCATCTCATCGTGGTCTAGATGACCCAGATGCGCCCAAAGGCCCGGGGGTCCCGTACCCCCTTGTCCCCTCTCTGGCATCTCCTCTGTTTACGAGAAGCGAGCTGTTGTCCAGGGCCCAGAGCCCTGGGAGGAACGGGGACAGGGACCAGGTGGGCTGCGGTGGGGGCCAGCGTCCCCTGCTCTGACCGTGCCCCTTGTGAGGCCCAGTGGCTGTGGGAGGCTGAGTCGGGCTCCCCACCGGAGGGAAGCGGGGCTGCCCCAGGACAGGCAGGCCATGGGGAGCCACTCGGGTGCTCCTGGGCTCTCCTCCATGGCCCGACCGGGTGAGCAGTTTCCAGCGTGTTCCACGGGTGTCTTCAGGGGGTCTCCTGCATGTGGGAAGGGCCAGGCCAGCTCCATCTTGGCCTGGCTGCCTCCCCCCACCCCCCCGCCCCTTCTCTCCTTTCTCAGCCCAGCTTCCCCTTCTCCCAGCCCGGGGAGCAGACCCCCCACCCCGCCCTGCTCCTGGCTGCTGTGCCCCTGACGTCAGCACACGCGGCTTACGTCTCACCTCTGCCCTCGGTGCCCCGCTTCTCACTGCTTTGGGACGGAGACAAGGCTGTCCCTTGAGAAGGTGCGACACACCGTTTGGAGGAGCTCTGAAGCTGTGACCTCACTCTCCGAGCCTGTTTTCTTTTTTTTTTTTTAATGTTTTATTTATTTCTAGGAGAGAGAGACAGCGTGAGCAGGGGAGGGTCAGAGAGAGAGGGAGTGACAGACTCTGAAACAGGCTCCAGGCTCTGAGCGGCAGTCAGCACAGAGCCCGACGCGGGGCTCGAACCCACGAACCGCGAGATCATGACCTAAGCGAAAGTCGGACGCTTAACCGACTAAGCCACCCAGGCGCCCCTCTCCAAGCCTGTTTTCTGCGGGGAGTCCCGAGCAGCCGGGGTTGGGTGGGTGCAGCATGAGAATTCTCAGTCTGTCACCCGGTGCTGGGCGCGGCTCCCCAGAAACCCCAAGGGAGTCCAGCAGCCCGGGGGCTCGGGCACCTCTCATACCTGCCCCCAGTCCCCGCCAGGCCCGGGTGAGACCTGGGTTCCGGGAGGAGAGTCTGAGGCAGGACAGGGGTGGAGCACAAGATTGCCAACTCTGTGCCCCCAGCGGTGCCTGGTTTCCGCCCCCCGCCCCAGTGCCCACAGGCAAGGGAGGCAGTAACACTAGCCCACCCACCTGCTACTCCGAGGGCAGCGAGGCGGCCCGCATGCACGTGGCCCTGAGCAGGCCCGGCCCCCACCACCCACGGCAAAGCTCTGGGCCTCCCTACACGCCACTGCCCTCACCTCTTCCACGTCCTTCCCTCCCCGGAGCCATGAAGACCAGGCGTGCGGGGTAGAGGCCGGGGAGAGCCGGCCCGACTGCCTCTTACCAACCGGCTTCGGGCTCAGCGCAAGCCTCCTCGGACACCGGTGCCTCTGTGCCGAGTGACCGTGGCACAGCCTGGCACAATCATCCTTAACAGGGTGACACTGCGTGAAGTGGGGCCTGTGGAGGCCAGGCTTGACGGCCATCTGTCTGCAAGGCTGTGCTAACTCTGCTGATGAGAAGACAGGAGGGAAGGGGTCCTCATCTCCCCCAGCTCCGCATGTCACCCGCAGCCCCCAGAAGGCGCGAGCCCTGCAGGGGCTGGACACGCAGGACCCGCCTCCTGGGCCCAAGCGTGCTGTGTGCACAGGAGGGCGTCCCCAGCCCCCACCCTGCAGGTGGCCCCAGCCTCCTACCCGGGTGGGACCGGCCCTCTGCTTCCCTGACCTGAGGGGCCACGGCCGTGACCTGCAGGCCGGTGGCCCCACCCCCGCCTCCTCCCCCAGCAAAGACCTTGCAGACAACTTCCCTGGCTTGACGGTTTTGACATCCAGGTCCTGGGGCGCCTGGGTGGCTTAGTCAGTTAAGTGTCTGACTTTCGCTTGGGTCATGATCTCGCGGTTCGTGGGTTCGAGCCCCGTGTCGGGCTCTGTGCTGACTGCCAGCTCAGAGCCTGGAGCCTGTTTCAGAGTCTGTGACTCCCTCTCTCTCTGACCCTCCCCTGCTCACGCTGTCTCTCTCTCCTAGAAATAAATTTTAAAAATATTAAAAAAAAAAAGAAGAAAAAAAAGAAATCCAGGTCCTGTGACCAAAGCTGCCATTTTAAGCGCGTTTAAGTGTGCAACGAGGTGGTTTTCGGTATATTCAGAACCTTGCGCCGTCATCACTGCCGTCTAGTCTTGCCGCCCCAACAGCCGGGCTGGGCCGGTCTTCAGCCCAGTGCTCTCAGCGCGTGTTTTCAAGGTTCTCTGGTGTCGCAGCATGAAGCAGTGCGTCTCCCGACAGCCAGGCACCCGCTCGTAGGGACAGAGCGCCGTCCCCCTCGGCCCCGATGCGCGAACTGTGTCTGCACCTCTCAGGTCTGCATCGGGGAAGGGGCTCTGGTCCTGTGGCAGCTCTGTGTTAACCTTTTGAGGAAGAGCCAGGCGCACCTCGCAGTCCTCGAGTCTGTGAGGCGTGGTTTTGATCTGCAGTCCCCTAAACCCTCAGGACCTGGGGCGCCTGTTCACGTGGTTGTTGGCCGTTTGCGCATCTTTCCGGGAGAAACGGCTGCTGGACTCCTTTGCCCCTTGTGAAGCGGGGTCGGGGGCTCACCTCCGAGCCGCGCGAGTTCCTCCTGTGTTCCGTCCGCCACCCCGGGTGCGCCCACGCGCTCTCCTCCGTGGTTGTGCCCCCGCCCAGGACGGTGCCCTTCGGTGCTGTTGCACATGGTGACGTCCGGCCTGTCTGTTGCTCACGTGTTGCTTGTGTGTCTGGTGTCATGTTTAAGAAGCTGCTGCCTAACCCAGGGCCCGGAGATTCCCTCCTGCGAGAGGCATAGCTTCAGCTCTGACATTCAGATCTTCGGATGTTATGTCAATGCTTATGCTTGGCTCTTCTGGATCCCTGGCAATTCCAAACCACTTTTAGGACCGGCTTGTCCGTTTCTGCAAAAAGGCAGAAAAGGGTTTTGACGGGCACTGCGCTGACCGACCCGGGGCGCTCTGGCAGCCTGGCTCAGCCCTGTGCTCCCGCGCTTGGGCAGTGGCTTTAGTTACATCTTTGTGAACTTCCTTGCACTTGCTTCTGTGGTTTTCAGTGTACAAGTCTTAGCTTCCTTTGGTTAAATTTATTTCTAAGTATGTATTCTATTTGATGCTACTGTAAATGGAATTGTTTTATTAAGTTCATTTTTGTTTGTCCATTGCTAGTGTATACGTGAGTGTATAGGTTTTTGGGGTGCCTGGGAGGCTCCGTTGGTTAAGCATCTGACTTCAGCTTGGGTCAGGATCTCGCAGTTTGTGGGTTCGAGCCCCGTGTCAGGCTCTGTGCTGACAGCTCGGAGCCTGGAGCCTGCTTCTGATTCTGTCTCCCTCTCTTTCTGCCCCTTCCTTGCTCGCGCGCTGTTTCTCTCTCTCTCTCTCTCTCTCTCTCAAAGATAAATAAACATTAAAAAAATTTTTTTTACTCAAAGATTTTTTAAAAAAGAAACACATGTGGTTTTTGTGTCTTGGATTTTTCAACGTGCTGTAATTCATTAGCTGTGTGTGTACGCGTGCACACGTGTACATATATGCACGCGTGTACATGTGTGCATGATGTGTGCACATGCGGGTGTGGGTATGTTCCTCTCTGAAAGCCTTTTCCGCCTTTCCCGGCCTGATGGCCCAGCTGGCACTTCCAGGACGACGGTGAATAGAAGCGGCGAGCGCAGAGATCCTTGTCTGGCTCCTGATTCTAGGAACAGAGCTGTCAGTCTTTCCCCAGTGAGGACGGCGACGGCCGTGAGCTCTTCACAGACACCTTTTATCAGGTCGAACAAGCCCCCTTCTCTTCCTAGTTTCTCTGCGTCTTTGTCACGAATGAACGGGTGTTGGATTTGTCAAAACAATCGAAATGATTGCTTTGCTTCATTCTGTTACATGGGTTGATTTCACGTGTTGAGCCCTTCCACATTTCTGAAATAATCTGCACTCGGTCATGGTGTACAGTCCTTTTCCCACGCTGCCGGGGTTGTTTTGCTAGCATCGTGTTGAGGGCATTTAGATCTATATTCCTAACTGTTATTGGTCTGTAGTTTTCCCGTGACATCTTTGTCTCGCTTTGACATCAGGGTAATACAGGCCTGTAGGAAGGGAACCCACTGCAATGTGGGCCCGTCAGCCACGGCACCGAGCAGCGGTCAGAGATGAGATGAAGAGATAGAGCCCACCCACCCTGGGGATGCTGGTGTGGG